ATGACTTGAGATGTTGTCAAATAATACTAATTTATTATAATTTAATATTCTAGAAATCATATAAAACTGACATAGAATAAGAGGGGGAAAATCTAGAGCTAGAAAATCATGTGTACCAGGATGGAACAATGATAACAGGCACTTATTGTGAATTCATTGCTGGAGAGAGATACCAAATCACTTCTATATGACAATGACTGATGAAGCAGGACAAAATATCAAGCTCTTTTGATGATGGTGCGTTAAATTGAAAAAAGTAATGGTGGAACTAATAAGAAATGGAATTATAGGTAAATCTGGCTTAACACTGAAATAACATCCACCTTATGGAAGTAAAGTTACCTGGTCAATGTTGTAGCCAGAAGCGTTTCATTGACGACGCAAATCTTTTACACAGCATCTGATCAAAACAACTATCAAATATTTAAAAAAAAACACACATCTCAAATAATTTTAAAGTCGTGACATCTGTTGCAAGTTGATCATTTGTGACAATAAAAAGTATTGTTTTAATCATTTTTATATGTCATTCATACAAGTAAAGGCTGGCAAACATGGTATTAGTCAATTAGTCAATTCAGCTTAAATACTTTTTTTTTTTTTTACCCAATCCTTTCCTTAAAAGGTTTACCCCAAAATGAAAACTTAATTTTTCAGTGAATAACAACTTTGAAATTTCAGTCTGTTTGTCACACAAAGCTGTGTGGTTTGAGAAGACCTTGAATATTATAGTGAATGTTTTAATATGGACATCTTTGATATTTGATGATATGATACTATTACGAAATACTTTCATGTTTAATAGGTTTTTTTCCTTTTCTTTATAGTGATAAAGTATGGTCATAAAATGTAATACAAATATATATATATATATATATATATATATATATATATATACATACATACATATATATATATATATATATACATATATATATATATATATATACATACATACATATATATATATATATATATATATATATATATATATACATTTAAATTAAATCCATAATATGATCCCATGTTGGCTACCCATTAAAGGTTAAATCTAATAAAAAACTATTTAAGGTACTTTATAGAACCCATACGAAAGAAAAAACATGAGGGTGAGTAAATGAAACTTTTTTATTTATTTTGGAATTGACTATCACTTTACCATTTGCTGAAATATTCCATTAGAGAATATCCTGAGTAGCACTGAATGTAAAGTTAGAAGAGCGAGCAAACAGTTCCTGCTGTAAGCCTCAATAAATCTCTGAGCTTTCAAATAAGATGCATTGCCTGAACTTATGTTTTATTTTTGTTTTTATTTCCATTTTATTTAATAATTACGAGATTCAGCATATCATATGATTTCCCAATTCACTCGCATGAAATATCAGCAAAAATTTATGTATTCAGGCCAAACCGCAAAAACAAAGCTGGGTGTTCTTCTTCTGAAAGAATACGGTCACAAGCCCCACATCACTAGCATCACAAGAGTCATGATGTCTGTTCAGTGAAGAACGATTTTTTACAGTGAGAGTGTGACTGTGCGATATATAAGAGTGACAGTGTAGTGACTGCTGCCACATGCCACATCGTTATGTCTCACAAAACACAGAGGACAAGTTAAACATGCTTTTTCAGCATGAGACATTCAGATTTTACGTGGACAGATGAGCCATGGGTTTTGTGCAAATTAAGGCTACGGAGGCAGAGAAAATCGACTGGTACAAACTGTAGACACAGTCGATATTGAATTTAAAACAGCTTTTGCAGCTTTTGGAAAGTTCGCAGTCTCCGACAACACAGTGACTACTGTCATGTTAAATGTCCAACAACCATATGCACTGTCATTACGGACAACTCGTGATAAACAGACTGTCTGCTTGGTATGGGCCAAATACCAACTTCCTCTTCTCAACATTATATTACGAAATAAATATTACAAATATAGACAATATGATGTGCATGAGTCAGAAGCGTGTCATGTGTGTCTGTTTGTAAGGTGTAGGTGAATGTAGATGACTGCATTTCAAAGCGTATTACAAAAAGGGAGATGAGAAATTGCTTTTCTCCTTCATTTCAGGGCAGTAGCATTAATCTTCATTTCTCTGTGCTCATGTCTTCCGAAAATTTTACCTGCTTTTCACAAGACTTGAGACAAGGGAAAAATGACAAGAAATAATGAACTAAGTTAGTAAGGTAGAATGAGGAAGAGACCTTGGCAGAAATCAAGACTCAGATGGGGGAGTCATCATCATCTGGCAAGCAAATCCTGAAACATCCTGTCAACTTTCTACATTTCTCCTTCGCTTCCTCTTTGTGCATGTGATTTATCTTCATGCACTCCAGATTGTGTTTCTAAAAGCATTGCATAAATATGATGAATGAAGCCCATTCATTCTAATGATAATATGCATGGAAAATACATAGTGCTCTCTAAATCAAGGGTGTGAAGACAGAAAAAGCATCAAAGAAACAAGGTTGCTTGCAGATTTTCAGATCATAGATGTCTGAATTTAAACATGTTTAATGAGTATCTAATTCTGCAGCATATATGTTAAACCTCCTTTAAAGTGAGCAACATTCCTGGACTGCATGTTGCCTCAATCTTGTGAGCAGTTAAGAGGCTAATGTCAAGGCAGCTGTGTGTGAAATATACATGATATTATAATTAAATCATTAAAGTGCTAGTTCACCCAAAAAGAAAAATGATGTCATAATTTACTCACCCTCATGGTTTTCCAAACCTGTTGAGTTTATTTCTCAAGTTGAACTAAAAAGCAGATACTCTGAACAATGTTGGTAACCAGAAAGTTGAGGGTAGCCTTTGATATCCATAGTAGGAAAAAGAAGTACTGAAAGTCAATGGCTAGTCAACTGTCTGGTTACCAACATTCTTCAAAATATCTCCTGTTGTATTCAGCAGAAGAAAGAAACTCATACAGGTTTGGAACATCTTGAGGGTGAGTAAATTATGACAATATTTTCATTTTTGGGTAAACTAACCCTTTAATAATTAAATTAAGTATTTAATTGACTTTCATTGCACTAAATCCCCCAAACAAATGTTAAACAGAATATGAGAAACCTTTTCAATATTTTAAAAATGTACACCTTTTAATGTTTTATAATAAATAGTTTCAAAGCAGCATAAAGTTATACAATCTAAAAATAAAAAAGTCATAAAAAAGTCATCTGCAAGACCACTGAAACATTAGCAGGCAAGACAGTATTGGCAAAATAAAATTTGTTCGTACATTTGATACAGTTTTTTTTTTTTTATTTTTTTTTTTATGTTTGCTGATAAAGGTAGGTTTATACTCGGTTACTTTATTTTATATTTGATTTTTTTTTAGTATGTACTATTTTATATTATTTATTTGTTTGTTTGTTTATTTCATGTATATATATGTATATATATATAGATGTAACTCTGTGTCTGTACCTAACCAGAAAAATAGAAAACAATGTTTAGCACGATGACAGCAAACGCTTCCATAAAATCTTTATCGTGAAAATCTTTATCTTCAGTGACTCAAGAGGAGAGTTTTCATTCACTGCTTGTTACAGCAAAGCAGCATGACCTACACATATCATAAAGTACTTCACATGCGACCACTAACGTCCTCAATATAATGGAATACAATTTTCCTACATGTAATTACCAAAACTCCTCTGCCAGCTCTAGTCCCAACTAGCTGCCCATCCTGATGGATGCCACTGCCAGATCAAGCTAGTCTCACACAGCATAAGGTCCGGTCCACATTGCAGCTTATTTTGGCCAAAAGCGGCCCACTTAGACAGGAATATTTTCATGTAGCCTACTGTTCCATTTAAGGCCAGATTTATCTGAAATTTCTTACACCAAAAAGTTGCATGCATTTTTTTTTTATATATATATACAGTGTTGGGGAAGCTACTCTGAAACTGTAGTTTGACAAGCTACAAGCTACTCGTAAGAGTAGTTAAACTACAGTCAAGCTACTCTTTTGGAAAAGTAGTTAGCTACACTACAAGTTACTATCAAAAAGTAGCTAGCTACATTGAAACTACTTTTGCTTTTTTGAACAACGTATTATTAATAACTGAATAAGTGTCTGAGGACAGAAGGGGACAACAATACTTTTTGAAATCATAATTTTATTGCATTGTTTTAAACACTAAAACAATGCAATACAATTATGATTTCAAAAACTATTGTTTTATTACACACAACACCCAAATATCTCAGATTGTTTGTCAAAAGTGCAAAATTGTAAACAATAGGCTACAACATTGCAAGAAAAAAAATATACATCCAACGTAAATTGCATGTAGAACATTTTCTCAAAAATACCGATTGAACTTGGACAAATAAGGCCATGGGTGATTAACGTTAGTTGTTTCTCCATCCTCCAAATCTGCTGTCACATCTTGCTCCATCATCATGTGTGTGTCAACACACTTCTGTACGTCAGTGAACTGTTAGCCGCAGATGTGTGATTAAACAACAGGTAGCGGTGATGGCAAAAAAATGAGTTTGTAATCTAACAAGAAGAAGAATATCCTAGCAGCGCGCTGATTCGCGCAGGCTCGACAAACACAATGTAGCTTTTGCTCGAGCTACACCGCTACTTGCTGCAAAAAGTAGTTAGCTACTGGAAAAGCTACACTGTTTAAAAAGCAACTGAGCTACTGCCAAGCTACTCAAAAATGTAGTTAAGTTAGTAGCTTCGCTACTTGTAGTTAACTACTCCCCAACACTGTATATATATATATATATATAATTTGGGGACATAATTGTAAACAGCTGTACAGAAAATGTGTAATCAGAATAATCATAATTCCGTCAGCCAATCAGCCTGGAACTTGCCAGACTGAGGAAGTTTTATTGTGTGAAATACACTTCAGACAGTCGGTGTACAGACTGTGGGCGGTCTGTGGGTGATTAAGACTAGTTCTAACCAAAACTAGCTGAACATCCTGAATACTGCCTGCCACAGCCAGGAAAAGCATCACCATGAACTCACTGAAAGCGGCCACAGCCAGGATGAGCGTCACCACAATGGAGATCCAGGACACCCACAGAGCTTTCTTCCTGTAACTCTGAGCTTCATGGGGCTTTAGGCGCATGCTGCTCTCCAAGAGACCTGTCAAAAAAGTAAAGAAAACACTGCTTAAAGGTCATTATACAATTACATTAAGTACTCTATAGGGAGACAAACAACAGGAGCTGATTATTTACTCACTGGACCATGGCATTGAGAGGGAGTGGGTAGAGACATATTAAAGAGCAGAAATGAATCTGCACTGTGGGGCAATGGCTCTGTGTTTAATTAAAAGAGCAAAATGGTTTCAACAACATTTAGATGCCACTAACAAATTCAGTTTATCATTAACAAGTAACAAGTCACAAATGATGTGAATGCTGTTTGCAGCCCTGAGAGATCTTTAGCTACTGGAAGATGAGACAGCCTCTGAGTGAAATATTAAAAGGTACTTATGACTTCATATCAGGGAATTTACACTATATTTAACAGTCTTTTGCTTATTTAATCAAAACTACAGTAAAAAATAGTCATATTTGTATGACTGTATGACTAATATGATGATTTGCTGCTCAAGAAACATTTCTTCTTTTAATGTTGAAAACAGTTGTGGGGCTCACATTTTTTATGAATAGGAGGTTTATATTTTGTCAAATCTTTTTTTAATATACTGACCTCCAAGTTGCACACTAGTAATTTTTTTTTTATTTCTAAGGTATGTTTCTAAAATACTTAAATGCCCTAATTGAACTAAGCCTAATCCTGGCTTAATCTAAGCCATATCTGTGAAACCGGGCCTTAATGTCTTTACTCTCACTAAATATCTTTAAAAAGCAACCAAAACTTCTGAACAGTAGGCCTAACTTCATATCTCTCAATATGACTGTGTGAGATTAAGTCACACTGTTAAATATAAAGTTAAAATTAAGAGAAGACATTATTTCTTCATTTTGTCTCTTAAACTTTGTCTCACAATTAACTTCCTTGTTTTTTGGATCCAATGCAGAAACAGACTTCCACAAACAACAGCATACCTTACAAGCTGATAGTTTACCACAGTATGTGTGAGATAACATATCTGAGTCCCTCAACAAAGTCTTTATCAGGTCATTATTAGAGACATATACAACACCACAGGTCACAAATTTATTCCGTGACTGTAATTATGAATAAAACTAAGTGAACAGAAGCGGCCGGCAGAACCTGCTGACTGTCTATTGTAAAGCGTCCAATGTTTATAATGTGCTGTGTTTGCCAAAAAGGTAAAACTCAAATATGCCTTTGTCATCTGTTCAAAATGAATGGAAGCTATGTCATCGTGACAGTGGGAGGATGTGTGTGTATCTTCCTCCATATACCAAACTGATCTGTCAGGCCTGTGGAAGTCACATGCTGAGGGTTATGAGCACAGAGTCAATAGGTGGTCAGTCAGTGTGATTGTAAAAGCTGAAAAACAGAGCTGGGGAATGTGGCCACTCACATGATTTATTTCATCAGTAAGGATCGGGAGCATGTGCTGCACTCGCACAAATAAGTTGCAAACTATTTCATTTCTAAACCAAAACACACTCCAAACACACACCTTTACAAACAGTATATTTGTTCAGTTTGTACTTTCCCATGCAAACTCTATAGGCACATAAAATGAGCTGAAGCTCAAAGAGCTTGCCCCCACTCCATCCATCTGCTAATCATGTGGAAGCAGGACATCCACATGACCCAGCAATTCTTCCATGCTTAATAGGGTTTGCATGAAAGAGAGAGAAACATTCCTCTAAATGGCTTAAAGGACATTGGCTAAAAGATTTGCTTTTTATTAAACTTTTAAGAAATTCTGTAAGTGGAATTAAGCCATTTCAGAATCAATGAAGCAACTTAGAAAAACAGTATATGCTTCCCTTAACAACATGCATCACTTCTGACAACTGGGCTACATGTTCAAATTCAATTCATAAACATGAAGAAACTGTTTTTAATCCATATTATTTTAGTTAAAACAACTGTGACAACATTTAATGTAACTGCAGTTAAGTAAATGTTTTTAATATGTTCTTCAAAAGTATAAGACAGAAGGCCTAACCAACAATTCTCCATGCCAACTGGCTGGTGGCTTAAAGTCTATACTTGCTTTATGAGTGTGAAGAATTTACTGAAGGCAGCCAATGCAAGCTCTATCCTAAAGCTGTCCATCCTGATGGCTGCCACTGCCAATTCAAGTTACTGCAACTCATGAGCAAACAGATATTTGACTAAATGACAAAGCTTGCTGCATTGCAGCTTAGACAGGAAGAAAGTAGGGACCGGACCCTATGTCCGGTCCATCCATGAATTCCATCCGCATCAGTCTTTCTCTTGGACTTCTTTGATTTTCTAAGACTTCTTCTAATGCCCTCACAATTTCACCAGTGGAGAATTGAAGGGTCGTATGCATAATTCAGTGGCTCAAACTGATTTCACAGGGGGTTGCTACAGCATACAGCAACACTCAGATCCTGCAGGTGCAGAGTAATGCTGCTTCTAAGAGTGGAAGTGCTGATATGAGATAAGATGAACCTCTGTCTGAACATCTCCACTTGAGGTGTGAGTCAGCCGTAGATTCAGTTGAGCAGAAGTAAAAACAAAGTTTACAGTCTTTAGCCTATAGCAGGACTGTAACCAAGATGATGGCCAGATCATAAACTAACATTTGTTCCTCCCAAATCATGAAAAAGTGGTTTGAGTCTGTAGCAATAATATCCAAGTTAACAAAAGCACTTTATAAGTCCACTGCTTTGTCAACTAATTATCGTCTAGAATTCTAGAAACTGCTAAGGAAAATTAGAATGGAGATGTAATATATATATATATATATATATATATATATATATATATATATATATATACAGATACAAGTTATGCATTCATTTGAATCGCAAACAAATCATTCATTCATTTTGACACAAACAACCATTAAAATAATATTTAGGCTACACTTTACTGTAAAAACACACAAAACAATTGAGTTAAAAAACAGTTTTATAAACAGTTATAAAATCCGAAATGACACATTCTGCAGTGTCAAATTTCGAATTGCAATAAAATAAAATCGCATTGCTGCTCCATTGAAAAATACAGATCATATCCATTCATTTAAAAGCTAGCCTATACTCTTAAACGTGCAAACCCAGAAAGGATGTTTAATCTCGGGTCCGGTTTTTTTTTTTTTTTTTTTTTTTTTATAGACTATGCTACAGTGTTTTTTTTTTTTTTTTTTTTTTTTTTTTTTTTATTGTTTTTTGTGCTCACCTGAATTATTAATAGCTTCAATAGCGCCTGCGTGCTCTTTTTGACCGCAACCTTTGCGAGCCTCCTAGTCTTATTCACATCACATCCCGATTCCCAAATAAATTCTTCTTTAAAGGTAACATTGTCTTTTCATTGTCGTTCCCAACTCTACAAAAGTAGCTACAGCTTGATCTGTTAGAGAGATGATGTGTGTTTCTGTTAGGTTTACCTTGTCCCTCAACGCTATCTGTGATTTTCATCTCCTGGTCCCGGTCCACATTGAAAGGATCGCCCTGGCTCCCTCTTTTGGGTAGGTTTGGGTCCTGGGCAGCAGCGCATTGTCCGTTTCGCACAGCCGACGGGTCCACAATAGTCGGATTGGGAACAGGGCATAGATCAGAAGTCGTACAATCTGTCATGTTTGTTAGCTTTTTTGAAATCAGATGAAGCCCTCAATAAAATCTCACGTCGAACTGCGACGCGCAGCCATCCGTGGCAGCATTAAGGGTAACGGAGCTGAGATGCGGAGATAAACGCAATCTGCCCAGCATCAGCAACGGACCCCCACCCCACCCTCCCACCGAGAACAACTCCAATCCGAGCGCAAGAACTGCAGCCACCAAATTGTAATTTGGCACGGCGTAATTTGGCATTGACTTTTCTTATTTGCACGTCATCTGATCGTAGCAGTTGTAGGCTAGTTCCTCCTTCGATTGACACAAGATTTGAGAAACGTTTTTATTATTGTTTTATAGGCTATATATGGCAAAGTCAGTAGCTGCCACATAGTCATCATTAATCCATTAAAAAACTTCATATAATCTTGCCTTTTTGTTATTTACAAGTTTTATACTTTTTGTAATAAGAAGTTTTGTTATTCTATGCATTCCAGTCTGGAACATGTTTGTTGCAGGCTAATAGCCTAGCTAGTGTTTGTGAAATCACAATTATATATTTTTTATTGACAATTTCTTTATGTCAAGTGACTTAGGCTATATGTGATAATTTAATTTGAATATTACAAAATACAAATAAAAGAATATTCTGTCATAATTTACCATAAAACCACGAGTTGCTTTCTTATGTTGAACACAAAACAAGATAACCAGATGTTGACGGAATTGACTTCCATATAGGCTAGCTTTTTATTTATTTTTATTTTTTCCTGCTATTAACGTCAATGGTTGCCTGGCTTCAACTGTCTGGTTACCAACGAACATTTTTCAAAATATCTACTTTTGTGTTCAACAGAATAAATACGGGCTTTGGAACAAGGGTGAGCTAGGCTACTTAAACCTATCCCTTTTTTTACAGACTCTTGGCCCAGACCTCTCAGGATGTCAGGAAGACCTCTGCAGTTTGTAGACCGAACACGTAGGCCTGCCCTACTGGATTAAATCCAATACGTAGTGGATCCGGGATTTTTTCTTTTTCCCTAAAACAGGTAAATGTGCTGTTTTTTTTTCAACAGCAAGTATACGAGATACGTGCCAGTACATTCAGACGTACTACCTCCAGTAACCGCTAGAGAACACTGTTGTGCATGATGTAAAGTTACTAGATAAAATATTTCCTAAATGTACCGAAACTGACATGAAATGGTTATTCCAGACCGCAATCTCTATTTTTAATGTGTGTTTTAACCTTTTTTATTTTATGTAAAAGTTTGCCATTTATTGCATAAGTTACAAACATGAATTTGTTCATACAATACACACAGTATATTTACAAGTTATAAAAAACTAATGGTGCTGGTTGGTGTCTCACTTCTAGGGGTTTTTATTGGGCCATTTGAAAAGACCGGACTCAGGGGTGGGAATGTTTGTTTTCTGCTTCACACACTGTTGAACATTCACAACTGCACGAGGAGTGAACATTCAGTTTGCAAGCCTGTCAAAAAACTTCTGAGTTCTTAATGTCAGCAGAATGAAGATCGATATTCATAATCATATTTTACCAAAGGAATGGCCCGACCTGAAACAGGTAGGTTGCATAAGGTGTTGAAATTATCTTGGGTCATCATGGGTTAACCAGGATTACGTGGCTTATAACATATTTGTCATTTTTTTCAGTTATTTAACTTGCAGTTGCCTTGCTTCAGATAAACCTCTATTTTTTAAGCCTATTGCTCCTGCTGGATTTTGTTATATATGTTTAGGTCAGCTCTACATTAAAGTTAATTTAATATTGGCCTACTGGTAGGCCTATATAAAGTGTGCCTGTCCAAATATAAAGGAAATCTGCTTTTCCTATTTTTAGATTGTATGTTAATGTTAAAAATGTATTTCAATACTAAAAGTGACACGACAAGACGCGGCCACAGATTTACTCATAATATGTATGCATCTGTTAAACATTAATGAAAGGGTTTGATCACTAACCCTGACCTTTCTTGCTTGTTTATCTGACTGCGCCAAGGAATATTTCTATTAATCATTTCCCATGTCTTAACAAGAAAATTAAAGCCAAGTTAATTTATTTATTCAATCATTTATTGCCATAGCAAAAATGTAATATTTGTATAGCATAAAATTAACTTACAGTAAATATTGACATTTCATGTTTCTCAGAGGTATGGATATGATGGATTCATTCAACTCCACCATCACTGCAAAGTAAGTTTAAAAATCTGCACTGGAACATGAAAAAATCCCATACACTCTTTCATAAATGACCATCGTTCACAGAGAAAATCAGCTCAATTTGCAGTTTAGGCTGATGATAATGGAAGAACACCAGCTGGATGGAAAAGGTTCTGCATGCTTGGCTATAGATCCAGCTGGCATGAGCTCTTCCTGAGAGAAAGTGTATGTGTGTGTGTGTGTGTGTGTGTGTGTGTGTGTGTGTGTGTGTGTGTGTGTGTGTGTGTGTGTGTGTGTGTGTGTGTGTGTGTGTGTGTGTGTGTGTGTGTGCGTGTATGTTACGACCCCCATGAGGAATGAGTGGGCAGCAGAGACGGATCTGATCCTCCACTCAGAGCAGGAGGATGTTAAAACTTCTGCCAGCCTCGTAGCCTACCTGCAGACCTTTAGAGTAATTGGATTGCTCTGTACTGCATTTCTGCTGGTGTCTCTGGTGGTTTCTGGTTCTGACTCCGGCTCCGAATTCTGTTCTACGTTGCAATTGGAAGAACTATTTTAAAACTAAATAAACATAATGGGGGGGGAAATGCTCATTAAGCAGTCCAGTTTTTGCTTGAATTCCTAATCAGGCAATAGTGCTTTTCTTTAACCTTTTCTTTCATATTTTTGAGATTATCAATCAGGGGTGTTAGTGTGTGTGTGTGGAAAAAGGACAGCAGGCCTTCCCTGGGCTCCTTGAGAGCAGCTGTAGAGCTCCACATGGGGTTTAGCTTCAGTAAAGTAGCCGAAAAAAAAAAAAAAAAAAAAAAAAACGGATCATCTTGAGCACAATGCGGCTGCTGACATTAACACACACATATATCTTACCATTTTAACTGTGCCTTATAAACTAATAAACAAACAACAATATAGAGTATTATTAAAATAGTACAACTTTTTAAATAAACTATATTTGGTTGAATAAGTGACACGTACTCAAAGATAATCCATTTCCTTTGATCTGCAAATAAACATTGATTCCTGGTGTAAAAAGACCTTGTCATGCCAGAAACTTTGTCCCTCTTCTCGTTCCAAAGTCCTTTGCATTGTATTACTGTGTGAATTAGACTTTGCTCTCCACTGCCACCAAGTGGCTGAAAATACTAACTGTCATGTAGAAATGTCAGAAATTCACTGAAATATAAAATGGAAAATTCTTATAATGGAAAAATGATTCTTAAAAGAAAGACCATGGGTTTTCTGTGTACCAGGGAGAAGCTAAAATGATGAAGGATGGAAAATTGTTTAGAGTGATCCAAGAGAACTGCTGGGATGCAGATGCTCGGATTCTGGATATGGACAAACATGGTAAAGAGTGAAACACACTGATAAAGTGCGTGTGTGTGTGTGTGTGTGTGTGTGTGTGTGTGTGTAGAAATATATTTTAATTCTTATTCACGTTTATTTCTACTTTTTTACTTTTTTGTTTTATTTATTGCAGATATTTGTTTTCATTTTTTTTTTTTTTTTTTTTTTTTCAGGAGTGACAGTACAGGCGCTATCCACTGTGCCGGTGATGTTCAGCTACTGGGTAAGAATCAGTGTAAAAATGAACCAAACTCTTGGTTTCAATTACACCTTCCTGCCATAAAACCCTATTTTACAGTACTACTATAAAGTCTATTATTTCAGACTAATAGTCTTATGCATTTCTTAAGGCTAAACCCCATGACACACTGGACCTGTGTGGGATTCTGAACGATGATCTGGCTGCTACAGTGAAGCGATACCCAAAGCGTTTTGTTGGGCTGGGCACTTTGCCCATGCAGGCCCCAGATCTAGCTGTACAAGAGATGAGTCGGTGTGTGAATCAGCTAGGCTTTCCTGGAGTGCAAATTGGCTCTCATATAAACACATGGGACCTCAATGCCCCAGAGCTATATCCTGTCTATGCTGTAAGTACATTTGCCTTTAGTAGAACATGCTTCATCCACACTAAAGCATTTGGTGTCTTTTTGTTTGTTTGTTTTTGTGTTTTTGTTTTTTTTGTCAAGTCATTCAGTTTTGTCTCAGTGCGTGTGGGGCATTTTAAAAGTATTTTGCCTCTTATGACAGGCCGCTGAGAAACTCAACTGCTCGATATTTGTGCATCCGTGGGACATGCAGACAGATGGCAGAATGGCAAAATACTGGCTGCCTTGGTTAGTTGGTGGGTTTGATTGAGTGTCTTGACATGACATTCTACAGTTTTTTATATTTCATTTCATTTAAATTATGTATTCTCTTTTCATGGTAATGCAACACGAATTTCCACAACAGCAATTTAACAAATCCAAACAAACAGAATAAAAATACATCCTATGACAAGAAGAACAGGAGTAGGATGAAGAAGAAAAAAAATCTTATAATAAAAATAGAAATACAAATTAGATTGCCTCACCAACATGACAAAAGATAACAACAACAAAAAAATAACAAAATAGATATAATCTACTTTCAATTTTAAACAAACAAAAACAACAATGATGCAATGACAACAAAAAAAAAACAATGGGACCATCATTGTTGATTTAATTTGATCAATTTTCACATTCATCTTTATATACATTAAGTATATTCTGTTTATACTTGTATTTAAATTGTAGAATGTTTGAACAACATTTTAGATCATAATCTTTTCACGCACCAGAAACACACATTTGTTTGAGGGTATTTCCTGCAAAAGGTTGTTTAAATATTTAATAGCAGATTGTGATCATTTTTATTGAATCAGTTGTATTGAAGACTATATCCAAGTCGTTGTTTGATCCCAGTTATTTCTGACAGGTATGCCAGCAGAAACTACAATGGCAGTTTGTTCCATGATTTTTGGAGGTGTTTTTGAAAGATTTCCCAAACTTAAGGTCTGCTTTGCTCACGGAGGTAAAAAATAATAATAATAATTTATAATCATGATGTCATGTACAGCAAAACAGCAGAAAGGATAACCTTGAACTATAAATAGAATACAATTTTTTTTTTTTTTTTTTTTTTTTTTTTTTTTTTTTGTGAAGTGGTTGTGGTGTTATAGTTCATACTTTGTGTTCCAGGTGGTGCTTTTCCATACACCATTGGCCGAATTGAGCATGGCTTTAAAGTGCGCCCTGATCTTTGTGCTGTCGACAACAAAATCAACCCACGCAAATACATAGGATCTTTCTACACTGACTCTCTTGTGCATGACCCACTTTCACTGAAGTTACTCATGGATGTCATAGGAAAGGTAGTTATTTTAATATTTATACTGTGCCAGCATTAATGCCACAGCAACACCGCTAGTGAACTCTAACTGATGAAATGGCAATAGCTGTGTGTGCAGGACCTGCAGGTGCTACATGTGTGCAGGACCTTTGTATTCTAGTAATAAAAAAAACTGTGCAGCAAAATAAATATAATTCACCTCTGTTTTATGTGCTATTTTAGTTTTAATAAAGAATTTTGCTTTTTGCAGGATAAAGTGATGTTAGGAACAGATTACCCATTTCCACTGGGGGAACTGGAGCCAGGCGCATTGATTCAATCCATGGATGAGTTTGATAGTTTGCTAAAGGTATAAGAATCTATCTATCTATCTATCTATCTATCTATCTATCTATCTATCTATCTATCTATCTATCTATCTATCTATCTATCTATCTATCTATCTATCTATCTATCTATCTATCTATCTATCTATCTATATGTATATCTATCTATCTATATATCATCTATCTGAACACACTAAGTTTTATTTCAAATTGCAAATACATGAATTAATATATTGCACATAAAATGTTGGTATACTGTATATAAAATGTAGGCTACATGTATATAAATAATGTTTAATAATGATAATACTGTAATTAAGTTATTAAAGTGCATATAGAGCATACTAATATCCAAATGCTTGTCATTTTACAGCTTATCTTCACTCTTCTACTCTTTTGTTTAGGATAAACTGCTTGCTGGGAATGCTTTGGATTTTTTAGGACTGTCAAGAAAACAGTTTGAGTGACTGGTCAGTTGTAGCCTATTGATGTATATCAGAACAGAAGTGATTTAGCTGGATAAGATGAGAATTAAACCATATAGGCAGAGTTGGGGAGTGCAAATTATTTTGTCTGAGCTATGATAATAATAATAATAATATTTTCTCACATTGTAGGCCTATTTGTCTTATCTTATCATTTTAGTGTAGAATGAGCAAAGCTGTGTGTTGATAGGATGACAAAAAGTTTTCATTTCATTTCATTTCAAATGTTTTGGGTGATTCACTACATTGTGCAAACTTGCAATTTTGTGATATTGTGGGTTGTGATATCCCAGCAAACAGTTAACACTTACAGTTTTGAGAATGTTAAAACTGTTTAAAAATGTGCCAAAGAGATTAAGAAAAACTGTAATACTATACATACATTTGAATTTCTGCCACAAAATGCTAAAGGATGATGCCGTTTAAAGAAGGAGTCTGGTGTTTGCTTTGAATAAATCAAAAAGGCTTTTGATAAAACATTTTGTGTCTTTCGCTGTTCTTTAACCACTCAGTTTATAGTATTTCTTTAACCACTCAGTTTATGTACACCTATGAGTCATGACAGCATCATTCATACTATAAATATAAACTATAGAAGTTAGAACTATATCATTTTATAGTTCTGTAGTTCTCATAAACTACAGTTCCCAGCAGCAACGCGTTGTGAGACGTAGGCTACGTCAAGGACATGACGTATGTGAAAATACGTGACGCTCGCTCTCTGTTCGTTTGCTGGACGGTAATGGCGGCGTGCCGGGGATCATCGTCCAAATGGTTTTTCACCCGGGAACAGCTCGAAACCACCCCGTCCCGTCGCTGCGGAGTGGAGCCAGACAGAGAGCTGTCCTATCGACAGCAAGCCGCGAATCTTATTCAGGACATGGGCCAGAGACTAAATGTGTATCCTTCATAGTAACGTTAGCTAATTACGCGTTGTTCAACAGCAGGCCCATTTGTGTCTCTCGCTGCGACTGTTTGTTTTACTTTTACACCTGTAATATATCTAATCTGGCATTTCAGTTTCGTGAATATATGTAACGTTAATAGTTGTGACCTCGGCTGAAATTATTAGAGATTGTCAGTTTATCCTCGTTAGCAATTAGGCTGGTGCTAATTCATGTTAATGTTCTACTAATGACTGACGTACAATTTGTATATTTACATGTTGGCTAGACATGATTATAAGCTAACTTTAGTTGTTACTCGATTTGTGTTTATGTTGTATTTGCTAATACGCGCGACATCACGCATCTCACGCGTTATGCCCATAGGGTTATGTCAATGGCACGCGGGCAGGCCGGTTACCGTAAATATTAAAGCCGCCCTGCACTACTAACGTTAAACCTGTCAAAATACGAATTATGTGATTTTTTTTTTCGGGGTTTGTTAAAATGCGTACATTTGCTTTACGACCTTGTATCAATACGAAACACGAATACGTAGTTGTACATAAATGGCTGAAGTTACGTAATCCTACGTTTTCCTTAACTCTAAAAATCAGTTCTCAACTCACAATAAATACTGCCATTGTTTACATGCACAGATTTTATATGTACCACTCTTTCACCAAATTCCACAGAAATGTAAGTTTCTTGTTTTCCATCCACACTGCCTGCATCCATTGAATGTAACATTTTTAACCATTTGAATATTCATGAGCTTCTGTGTTTAATTTCATCTGGAGTGTAAGAATGTTTCCACTGTGCTGGCATTGCAACCATAAATGCAGCTTTTAAAATTAAAGTGGAATGGAAACATAGCATTCTGTGTTAAGTCACGATGAACATGTGAGAGACACTGGTCATATCTGGTCTACTACACAGCTGTGATATTTTTTTTTAGTTTCTTGAAATCACACTGGTGATGCTGATGTTTTAAAGGATTAGTGCACCCTAAAAGTAACATTTTGTCATCAGTTACTCACACTCATGTTGATCATGTCGATCCAAATCCATAAGTCTTTCATTCATATTTAAAACGCAAATAAACATCATTAAAATGAAACCTGTTGAGATATTGTCCTTCCATTGAGTCCATTCATCTAAAACATGCGAGAACCAGCCTCATTGGTTCCTGCAAGTCAAGCAAACATGTTTGAGCTTCTGTTTACCATTTTTGATGCGTTTTATTTTAGTGTTTTTATATGAAAGCCTAATTAAATCGGGTTCATATAAAGCATTTGTGTCTCTTCAGAAAACTAATCCGCTCAATTCATATTGATTTCTTTTACTATATTTTTATGAACTTTTTTTAAAGCATCAATGTTTTGAGTGAATGGACTTTTAATGGTGAAAGAAATTTCTCAGGTTTCATTAAAAGTGTCTTCATTTGGGTTTTGAAGTTATCAAAAGTTTTATTCGCTTGGAATAAAATGAGGGTGAGTAATTGAGGATATGACTTTCATTTTAGGGGGAAATAGCCTAACCCTTGAAAGTAGACTTGCATCTTTCAATGTGACCATGTCTTTTCTTTCCTCTACAGACCATCTCCCCAACAACTTTATTTCTGGCTGCAAAAGTTGAAGAGCAACCACGGAAACTCGAACATGTCATCAAAGTAGCGCATGCTTGTTTAAACCCACAAGAGCCTCCTCTGGATACTAAGAGTAATGTAAGTCATGGGTATTTTTATTGATTCTATTTTCTCCACCTTTTCATCATACTGAATAATTTCCGGTACACATGCCTCCATAAGAGTGTTTAGATTCTGTCGCTACAGAATCAGGCGTCTCACTAGTCAACTCTACACAACTCGACTTTGATCATGGGTTTCTCATCTGCCAAATGTTTTTTATTTGTTTTAATTTGTTTTATTTTTTTATCAGATGTATGTCATATCCATTAATTAACAAAAGTAAAGGTTAGTTAAACAAAAGTGAAAATTATCAACGTTTACTCGCGCTACACCCTGATAAACCAAATTAATGTATGCTTGCTTTTATGTAGGGCTGTGCAATTTGATCACAATATAATATTTCATATCGTTAGGTATTGATAATTATTGATATTTTTATAGCGTTTTTTTAAGACAAGTTTGAATTTAAACCACTTTTTTTTATTTGGTTTTGTTTTTTTATCCACATTATTAAGGCAAACAACAAATTATATTAGTTTTAGCTGTCAAAAATGTAAACAAAAACATCATCTTCATGTCTTATATTAAGATAAAAAAGTAAATTTTAAAGAAACTCTTGAATTTGAATAAAATGTTACAAAATGTGTGCAGTTAACGTAGAACAATCAAGGCAAACTTTGAGGTAGATCGACATCTGTAATTAGTAGGAGTGTAATGGTTCACACAATTTTTGGTTCGGTTTGATATACAATTGTGTCACGGTTCGGTACGTTTTCGATACAGCAGAAAGAAAGAAATACCAAAGGAATTTCCTTGATTTAAAAAAAAAAAAATGTATTAAAAGAAACATTTTTTAAATAAATGTGAGTTATCCTACATCTTGAAACTTTAGTTTTATAAATGAGATTAATCTTTGAAGGATAAACAATGTTTTGGTCATCACATTAAAAATAACTTTTAAATATGGTCATATTTGAGTTTTGAAGTGCTGGAAAAAGATATGTGACGTACTTGAAAGCATTTTACTATTCCAGCCAAACATGGTTACAGTTAGTGTTAGTACATTAAATCCATGGTGAATGTTGCTGATCTGTGGACTTAAAGTTTAAATTGCAGGTTACATTTTTCACGAAGATAATGCAGTGTGCTTACTAAACAAAGATAAGAACCACCCACCATTGTTTTCCTGTTTTTTTATACCAAAATGCTGAATATAATATGAAAAGTTGGTACTTTTTACACTCCCCCTCCCTTCCGCTAAGCTGGGCGTGTAATCATAAAAGGGACTCCAAGCCTAGAGTTACTGTTAATCTAACGGCAAGTAGGCTAGTAATTATATAGAAATGTTTTTGTTTTTTTTTAATTCAGAAGTGATGAATGAAATAACTCAATTGTAAACATACTCATGTGTGCTGGCTTCAAGAGGACCATGATCCTGCCTGAACAAATGGGTTTAGACAGCATGCGTCAAAACCCAACGCATTCTCATCCTTTAACGTCATATAGAACGCTATATGCAAAAACGGCACTATACTACGCACATGGCACCCGTTATCGTTAATATAACGCGCTGTGAGGGCTAAGTTTAGGTGTGGAGTAGGGTGTGCGTCATATTCACGCTAAAGGATTCAGGACGTCTTGGGTTCGCGTATTATATTAACGATAAAGGGTGCCATGTGCGTAGTATATCGCCGTTTTTGCATATGACGTTAAAGGATGAGAACAGGCTGCAAAACCAGGATATGCTGCGTGAGGCACGTCAGATTTTCCAGTCACAGGTCGATCTGTTCCCTTTGGCTTGTTCCCTAATGTTATCCAGGTTAGCACGAGGCTAACCTAGGCTAGCTCCAGCTAATCACCAGGACACCTGGCCAACCCTCCCCTCATTTTCCTCACACCAAGAATTGATAATTGATAAATTGTAGGGCTGTGGTCCATCAAGAATTTGATGGTTCCCCACCTCCTCAGTCTCTCAGTGGTTCTCCATAGTCAAGCCACAAACAGTAGGAATCTAGAGTATGGGTTGCTACTCCCTCTTATGACGTCATCACCCAGTTACTATAAATAACACGCTACCTTTGAAACCCTTAGAAGTTATTTTAATGTATTTTAAGACAGAAATGTTTAAATATATACATATTGAGCACTTTAATTTACACATGAATTGGTTGTGGTGGTTAACCTGCAATTTACACTTTAAAGCCTAGTTAATGGCACAATGTTTTTCCTGGTTTCTACGCCAGTGCTGTTTGATTATAGAGATCTACAGTTAATAATGGAGCAATTTGAATGCTTCTCACTAGATCTCGCAGTGATGTTATTACGTCTGTGGTGAATTCAAATGCTTTCTGTACTGGATCTTAGCGCTGTGTAGTAACAGTGTCTCTTGTTTAAGATTGACTTGCGCTGCACTGACATTGGTCCAAACTGAGCGTGAAGTTCGAAATGAGTAGTAAGGTTTTCGTCCCACGTTCATTCCGTTTGCCTTTTGATGTTGGGCAACATTGTGTTGGTCACGCCATCTTTAACTTCGCGTTCCACGGTCGAATGGAACGCACCTTCAGTCAACATGTGTTGGAGAGTACAGTTCATGGTTACATAGCAACGACAGACGCCATGGGAGCGCAAACGCTTTGGAAAGGAGACAGTATGGAATCATGGGTAGCAATATTCAGTTTGAAATGTAATATCACTGTGTGAAGTTGACCCCGCCCCCACCCACCCTGTCAATCACTGCGTGAAGTTGGCCCCACCCACCCTGTGAATATACTTAATAAAATAGAAATGGGAGATGGTCATACATCACTTGAGTCACTTTATTGAACATTACAATCAGTTGTGAAGAAATAAAGAGTGGTCACATTTTTCACTATGAATTTGATCCGAAAAATAAATAATTTTGCTCGAGTTTTTGCTTGAACGTGTTAACAAATTATCTAATAATTTGTGTAATACATTTAAATTTTAATTTAGAGACTTGCAAAGTATTAAAATATGTATTCAATTTACATATTTAAACTGATATATGAAATGGCAAATTTTAATTTTGCACCAACGTTGTACAAATATAATGGTAAATGTACATTTAAATACAGAAATGCATTGCCATTTTACATTTCACATAATTACATTTCAAATTGAATGTTGCTACCCCTATGCTTCCATATTCCGCGTGTTTGTAGACGCGATATGTAAACGGCCCCTAAGATCTACCGGCGATGTGGGTGCATTTTAATGAAAATATCGAGCGCTATATCGAACGTTTTTTTTTTTTTTTTATTGTTCCCGACAATGGTTTAATGTTGATAAATACTGAGACCGGTTTATCGTCCAGCCCTACTTTATTCACTTGAAGTTTCATAAGCACTTAATAGACCTCATTAAATATGGTCAAGAGAAGCGTGAGAATTGATTAGTTTTGATCTTGCCTGTCATGCAAGCACTTTTGAGCTTTCTTTTGACCATATTTACAAGCTTGGAGCGACAAAGGGTAAATTATGACAATTAAAATTTTTGGGTGAACTATACCTTTAACTACTCTAACTAACCATTTAAGGTGGACAGATTAAAGAAATGCCTCTAATATTTCTCTACATTCCCGTTCATGTGAAACTCACAGACTCCCTTTCATTCTCCAGCAATGATGTAAATGAGGCTTACAACCAAAAATGGACTAGTGAGACACTGACGTTAGACATCCAGTGTGTCAGTGCTAGGACATAAAACTCCCTTAAATAAGGAAAATATCATCTTGAGGGTCATAATTTATAAAAAAAAAAAAAGTGTTAAATTGTTAAGCAAAAAATTAGTGTTGCCTGTAATTGGAATTATGCAGAGAATTCTGTTTATTGGATGAAGATATAGAAAGACACATTACAAGCCTCATGTAATGATTGTCTATTGAACTTCAGGCATACCTCCAGCAAGCTCAAGAGCTGGTGATACTTGAAACCATAGTGCTGCAGACTTTAGGTAAGTCTATGGAAGGAGGTTCCTTTGAACTGAATATTAGAGTGAACATAGAGGCTTGCTGACAGCGGTTCACCTTTGAAAAAAGTTTGAATTAAAAAAAAAGCATTTCCACTCAGTTTTTGACTGGAAAGTTGTATCATCATTGCTAAATTTAAAGACAGAATGATGATCTTAAGCTTTGTTGCAATGAAGTGAAATTGATTTTCAGTTAATCTTGGATCTCCTGATTATTTTGCAACAGGACACATGGGTATCAATGATTCTGCATTGTTTTAAAGGCTTTGTTCTAACTAATGCATGGTTCTTTCATGATCTACAGGTGTTGAGAATCGTGTGATTCAGTTAGGAATTAAATTCATGTGCTTTATATTGCAGGCTTTGAAATAACAATTGAACATCCACACACTGATGTTGTGAAATGTTCCCAGCTAGTCCGAGGTATAGACTTTACTTCACATGCTCTCTGCAATCACCATTAGAAATAAAACAGTGCTGACTTAATCTAGTAATCTGAACTTTTGGCTTTTGAACTATGGCTAAGCATGCAGTTCATGGAGAGGTAAACCTCACTGATTTGAGTGTAATTAGGTCTCATTTTTACTTCCATGTAGAGTTTTACTCACTCTTTTACCTTCCTCTTTCTCTGTGTTTGCTTTCACAGCAAGCAAGGATCTGGCACAGACTTCCTATTTCATGGCTACCAACAGGTTGTTATCCAGAACCTCATTTGTTGCACTGTGACTGCACACTATAGCTTCCTTTACTGCAGGTTACCCTACCAGTGTCCAACACCCTCTTTGCACCGGTGGCTACTGGGACGCCCCCCCCTCTCAAACATGCCCTCAGATCGGGGTGGGGAGGGGGTCCGGCGGCACCGGCCCCGGTTGCAGTGCGGTGTATTGTACGAGGGATCATTGTTGGCACAGAGGGGTTGAATGCACAATGTGAAGTGTAGTGGTGCTCTTGAACCTCACGTTTGCTCGGTTACAGAAGTGCATTTGTCTAAAAAAGACACTTTGGTAGCCTGAATAGCAGCTAAAGATTACACAGATGTAAACATTACATAGAAGTTCTCACGGTAAGTACCCAGACCCCCTTGTTTTTTTCTTATGATTTTGTTATTTTTAAAGTGATAATTAAACCATGTTTTGGTCTTTCATATTCAAACTATTTAGAAGTTTTTTTTGTTTGTTTTTGTTTTTGTCATTCAATGCCTGAATTGCCTGAATTGATTTGTGAGATGAAGCCATCTGTTGTGCTTCCATTGTGATGTACTTGTGTTTAATGCAAGAAAACCCATTAAGGACCTGTTTGAATTTGTACATTTAAAGAATTGTTTCAGTGGCTATGTATTTGTATACGCCCTATAATCTATAAAAAAATTGTCTATATCAGGTGTGTAACTTAAGGTCCTTAAAGGGTGTAGTCTTCCTTGTAATTGAATCAAATAGAATAATTTGATTTTGTGTGTGTTCCCCCTCATTGTGTATTTATTGTCTTCATTAAGTTAGGTTAGTTGTCATCATTAGTATATGCCCATTTTTTGCTTAGGGATACTGCAACATGCGATGTCTGAACATGGGACTAGAGCAGCATATGTTTAACACGGGGTTTGCACATAAAAGGGACGTTCTCAAACAAGAGCAAGTTACCCAAAGGACGTGGACTTTTTAACTGAATTGATAAATCAGCTCCAGTTTCATATGGCCAATGACAGTTGATGGATGATCTAATCATTTATACTCATTTATACTCACTGCATTTTTTTTTTTTTTTTTTTTTTTTTGCATTTAAAAGCTCCTCTTACCCCATGTCCAAACATTGATTCTGTTCTGTAGCACAAGGTTACCATCCAGCTTTGACTGAGGCTTCAGTTTATTTGTATTCATTTTCAAAAGACAGTAAAACACATTTAAAAAAAAAAAAATTAGCATGTTGGCTGAGAAATGTCTTAATCTTCTTCTTCAGGGACTATTAATGCAGTTTTTCTTCTGTCATCAGTATAGCAGAACAAGTGACAGGGCAAATTCACAGAGATTAAAAAATAAGCACTTAATGAGGCCAAACGGCTTTATGCCTTTCATGACATAGGTTTACATACAGTTCACATACATGTGGTAAATATGGATGGTAACCATATGCTTGTTTGCTTCACTGTTCCCTATGATTCTGTTGACTGCAGGCCTTTACACCTGTTATTGAATGTACTTTTTTTTTTTTTTCAGTAGTATCAAGTTTACCCTTGATTATGAGTAACAAACCTATTATTTTTTTGCTAGCACAGTTTTAATTCCTCATAGTAGAATTTATTTTATAAACTCTTGTTTTAAGACTTTTTACTGATATTCTAAACTTCAAATGTAGGTATGCTACAATCGATCAACTGCTGATAAGAATTGGCTGACTGCAGTCTGACAGTAGGCCTTGTAGACCATTTCCCCTAAGCCTTTCTGTGTATCCTTGTATGGATATGTTGAGTAAGCCTACTTGTTTTGTTTTTTTTTCAACTTACAATCAATATTGTATGGATCTTGATCAGAGCATCCCTTCTCATGTCTTTTGCCATTCAGATTGTCACAAAATATGAACAGTAGATTTGAAGGGAAATGCTTTAATTATAATGTCCAAATTGTAAAATGTGACTAAATTGCATGCTGCTATATGAAGTAGTTTCTGAACTGTGCAAGCAAATTTTGGAAGTATGTTGCTCAGAATTGGGGAACATCTTAGTGCCTAATGCTTTCTTAACTTTAATACTTTCTAGATGTTCAACATTGCATTCCATCTTTTCAGCAATTGATCATGTTGTGCTCTTTCTTTGTTGTCTTTTTTCTTCCTCCATGACGTGCTGCTCTTGCAGTCTGCACCTCACCACCTTCTGCTTGCAGTACAAGCCCACAGTCATCGCCTGTGTTTGCATTCACCTGGCTTGCAAGTGGTCCAACTGGGAGATCCCCGTTTCCACTGATGGAAAGCACTGGTGGGAGTATGTGGACAACTTAGTTACACTTGAACTTCTTGATGGTAAATGGACATTCCCCTAAATTACCATATAAGGGTAATTTTGTCCTATTTCTTAGTCACCCATGATTTATATTCATTTGAATTTTGTTGTAGAACTGACCCACGAGTTTCTGCAGATACTGGAGAAGACACCTAGCAGGTTAAAGAGGATTCGTAACTGGAGGGTGAGCAGTTAGACTTAATCATCCATTGGGTGTCTTTACATTGTCAAACGTAGTTAAATTACACACAGTTGCAATATTTATTTCTAGGCTACACAAGCGGCTAAGAAGCCCAAATCAGATGGTCAGGGCTCAGATAGCAGCTCTTTAGCGGGACCTTCGTTAACCCAGGACCTCTCCTTGATGGATGCCCTTCCTGGGGTCTCTACAAGTACAGCATTCTCCAAAGCCTCCACGTCTTTCCCAGTGACCCTGCCAGGCAACTCAAGCAGCAGTCTTTCTCTTGATTCTATTGCCAGCATGCAGGGAACCGCTTACACTTACACCGCCCCCAGTGACTGGCCTCAGGACCAAGTACGCTCAGACCTGTATTCTGTCAAACAACTTCCCCCACACACATCTATGCACCCACATCGGCCTGACAAAAGTACAGAGATCAACCCTGCCAAACACGAACACAAGTCCAGTGGTGGTGCCAAGCACCAGGCAACAACCTATCCTGCAGCACCCACACAGAAAATGTCTCTGGACAAGTACAGGGAGAAACACGCTGCTGAACTGGCGGTGCAGAAACGCAGGCAAGAGCAGCAGAGTATTGAGACTGAGGTCTATGTTGCTCCAGCACAGACAGATTACCGCAAACATTTACCCCAACTATCTCTGGGGCAGCAGGGAGCAGGAGTCACCACTGCCTCACCCATAAAGATGAAACTGCCTGTCGCTGGGCAGGACAAGCTCCTGGACAAACGTGAAAAAGGTAGCTCTTTAAAACTGCGTCTTCCAGTCCCCTCTCAAACCGAGAAAGGGGGATCAAGTAAGGAGGAGCTAAAAATGAAAATAAAGGTGTCCTCTGAGCGGCACAGCTCCTCAGACGAGGGTGCTGCAAAGAGCAAACATTCCAGCCCGCTTGTGAGCAAGGAGAAACACAGAGACCACTCAACCCATCGTCACCATCACAAACACAGCCACTCGCACACTCACACACATAGCGGCAATGGCAGGAGCATCCTCGAGCCACCCGCAGCTAGTTCGGCCCTTAGGAGCCCATTAGGTTCTGTTGCTGATGGTGCAAGCTCAGCTTCCAGTTCCTCACGCAAGAGGGTGAACCCCGACGCCAGCCACAATCACCACTCCAAAAAGAACAAAAGCTCCAAAGGCGGTACAGGTAGTTCCTCTCATTGTTCATCTGTTCAGCTGTGTGTGTCATCTCACAACTCTGTTCCTAACCTTCCCTTCCCCCCTCCCCGTCACATACCAGGTGGGCTACGGACATCTCAACACCCTAGTGAAACTGGCCAGGAAACCAGTGGAGAGCCATGGCCCTGATGGCGCCGGCCTTGCTAATGGCCAACACAGAGACTACAAAGATACTTTTGACATGCTTGATTCGCTTTTAAGTGCCCATGGAATGGGCTCTTGAACTGATAGGAAAAGAGGATAAAATATAAAAGAAAAATCAAGCATAGATTTCATTATTAAGAAGAGAAAAAAACAGGAATGAAGAGAAAGAAAATAAAAATGCTTCCCGATCTTCTGGCAGTTCGGTTAAGTCTCGCCATCTCTGTGTAACTGCTGCTTCTTTCTCAGTATTCCCTCATGAACAGTCAGTATGAATGCTTAAGCCAGTATGTGAAATTCAGGGCCATTCTAGTTTTTTTTTTAAAAATCTTTACGTGATAAAAATAAGTAATGAAAGTTTTGCCACAGTGAAAATTTATATGACTGAAAGCAGCCTCTAAAAAGACTGACGCTCCTCTCATTTGTTAGTTAGAAGGAATGCAGAATCAAGATTTAAGTTCCATAGTTCCTTAAATGGTTTTTTTTGTTACCTTCCCCTCATCTGATACCCTCTGTATGAGCTGCATGTCTAAAATGAAAGGGACGAGTTGTTTACAGAATGTGGAGAAAAATGTACATACATTATTGTATGATAAAAGCTGTACCATAACTTCTCAGGTTTGGAGCTGCTTGTAAAATGTATATATATATATATACATATATATAAATATATGGGGGTGGAGGGGATTTTGTGACTCGTTGTTAGAATCTGTCGTTGGCATTTCTAGCACAGCCTTCCAGTGATGTTTGAACTGGTGTTCCCTGTTCCAGAAGAGGGTGAACTAGCAGGCGATCTACACCCTGCCAATTACCTGGCATGTTGTCAGGCCATGCAATTTGTACCTTTTTTGACCTTCAAGATGACCTTAAGCTGGATGCCAAAGGTTGTGCCTCAAAAAGTGTAGTTCTATGAAGTTTACATAACCTTCGCTGTGAAGTGCATTTTTATATATTTCTTGGCTTGAAGCAGTAGCCTATTTGTGCAACTCTGTAAGTCAATAACAAATAACAAGAAAAAGGTGGGTAAAAAGAGATTGATTTCATTATCACATTTCTGACCCAAAGAGATCTGGGCTTTCATAGGCCCTCAACATTATTTCTGAATACGGATGAATGGTTTTGATTTAGATTTTTTTCGGTGAGGCTATTAGTAAACGAGGCCAGCATTGTACAAACCATCATTTTACTTTTGATCACTGAATTGCAGTTGGACAAGGCAAGTGCAAACCCTGGCACTTCCCCCTCACCCCCATTTTATTTAGATTTAATAAATGATATGGTTTCCACTACCTTAACCTCAGTCTTTGTGTATTGGATCATTTGTGTTAAAAGCTTATCGCCATGTTTGTCAAATTACTACGTACGGTTCTTTAATGTTTTAGTAAATTATATTTTCCCCATGTCAAATGTTGGGTCACATGGTCAATTTGCATTGTATCATTGTTTTAAAAATTTACTTTTTGATTTGGTGAATACGTTTTTAGTTCATTGGTCTATTGCAGGTTTGGCTGTGATGAGAGATGAATGAATGTCTTAGCAGTTCCTCTGCTGACGGTCGTTGCCTTGGATCTCTGCAAACAGAAAATATTTCCCACTTACAAAACACACAGGAAGCGTGTGGAAAACAGGCTGAATATATACAGTGGATTTAAAAACTTCACAAAAAGAACCAGAGCAAATATTTCTTGATTTTTGAGTAAAAGAGCAATGTACCTGGTTAGGCAAGCCTGGACAAAGTGCTTTGCATGTGTAGAGTAGTCATCAGACAGAGAAGGCATTAAGCCCTTTCTAGCTCCAATATAAAAAAGGGCTGCCATCTTGTTCATGTGTGCAAGGGGTGGTTTTCCTGTGGCCATTTCAAACACAGTGCAGCCAATGCTCCAGATGTCCGATTTCCGTCCATGACCTGTCTCGCTTATCACCTCTGGTGCCATCCAGTATGGAGTACCATGCACAGACTTCAAAAGGTCACTCTTACTTCCATTTGAAGTCTGAAGACAGCTAAGACGACGAGCACAACCAAAGTCGATTAACTTGATCACTCCAGTGGGCATAAGCATGATGTTGTTTCCCTTCAGATCCCTATGGATGACCCTGTTGGCATGAAGATAGGCAACACCTTCCAGAATCTGTTGAGTGTATAGAACAAAGACCTTCTCTGGCAATGGTCCAAACCGGCTCAGGATATTTGCGATGGAGCCACCTGGAACATACTCCATGAATATGCTTACAGTGTTCTCACAGAGAGCTGTTCCCAAGAAACCAATTATGTTAGTGTGATGAAGGTTCTTAAGAAGCTCCACCTCTCTTTCCAGGCGAACGTACTCTTTTTCTGCCATCTCTGAAGTTGAAGCGTCCAGTGCCACCTGTTTTACTGCAATCAGCTGGCCTTGACTGGTTAGCCCACAATACACCTATAAATTAAAATATAGAACAAAACGAGAAACATAAAACCTTTATATCAGGTTGTACTTGGAGAACATTTTGAAAATCATTTTTATTTTAAAGCTAAAAATGGTGCTTTGAAATGTTTATCATTTAAACACCTACTGTCCCAAAAGCTCCTTTACCCAGAACCTCTCCTTTTTTCCATGTAATAGCATCATGTGAGCAAGATTCGAGAGTGTTGTGTAGTTCACCTGAGGAAACACCCTGATGGATGAAAGAAACTCAATGTGACAAGAATATCGACTTAAGGAATGAGGTAGTCATCCCTGCTTTTGGAGAGCTACCATCCTGCAGAGTTCAACTCCAACCCCAATAAAATGCACCGATACCAGCAAATCAATGTGTTGCAAGCAGGTTGGAGCTGAAGTCAGCAGGAAAGGAGCCCTCTAGCAAGGACCATTGCTGGCAATTCTGACTCAATGTACAATTGAAATATGTTAAACGTTACCTTATTTAGAAATGTCTTAAATTTTGAAGGCAAGTTATGTTTAAACTCTGTGCCATCTCCATTTTCAGTCTTGAGTGTTTCAACATCTCTTTTCTCAAGTGAGATCAACTTCTCTGCCAAAGACCGCAGCAGGTCATCAGTGAGAAGTCCATCACTGGCTACATCTGGAAACCTCTGGTGCACAGGTGACACTGTTCCATCACTTGTCCATGTATTGATCAGTGGCTGCGTGGGCAATCTGCTCACACATGATATTTCAGGTTCACTTTTAACACCTGCATCCATTGGAGTTTGTGCTTGATGTATTATGTCCGTAATGAGATTTGTTTTGGGCACAGTGTTGGAAAGAACTTCTTCTATCACTGACAGTATGGAAGTACATTGTCTTTCTACGCCTGAAATTTCCCTCCCATCACCCGTAATGATGGGCATTTCAGATTTCTTCTGGACGGTTCCACAAGTAGAAGTTATAATGACATGGCATTTATTCTTTGAAGGAGGAGGGTGTTTCTTCATCCCTTTGGTAACATTATCCCTCCGCTTGAGATGCCTGCACTTAGCTCGACTGGATCTCTCAGGTTGCGCTTGTTTCCTTCGGTTAACCTCCACTGTATTTTGGCCCCTCGGTTTTCCATTTATCTGGCTTTTAACTTGAAGCGCTGTATGAAACTGTCTTGCTTTCTCCGCTGAACAGTCTACTCTGAGATTTTCATAAATTGGAGTTGCAAACATTTCATAGATTGCTGGACCTTCATCTCCCTGACTGATCTTAAGAAACATGTCATTGTAAGTGACATAATCGACAGCTGACCTTGCTCGCTGTGCTACTCCTGGTGCAGGCTTTTTGGGTGCTCTTGCACTTCTCGGATCTCTGTGAATTTGCTTTTGACTGTTATTGTTTTCTTTCTTCTCATCACTTGACCTTGTGTGCTGAAAAGGTCCAGAGGTCCTTTTTGTTGTTGGGGCTACATCTGCTGTTTTTTTGCGAGCTATTGTAGGTGCTCTTGGCAAATATTTGTTAGTTGTCTCTCTTGCAGTGACTAGGCAGTCTCTAAGTTGCAGCTTTGATTGAATTGGTGAATTTATCATGTTCCTTGTACTTTTAACAGTACTTTGATTTCTGTGTGCCAGAACATTGAATGACTGGTTTGTCTGAATAGATGGTTTGCCTTTCCTGTCATTTCCTTTTGTTGTTTTAACTGGTTTGTTCTTTTCATCTGTAGTTTGTTCTACTTCAGTAATATCCACAGTGGTAAAGTGCTTCTCATCTGCGATAAAACAGGATTCTCTGACTAAAGGATGTATTTCCCTGACTATGCTTTTGTGTCCTTCAGAAACAGAGCAGCAGTCTAAAGTTGGACACTTTCCGTGAAGATCCTTTGAGTTTTCAATTGTTTTGGAAGACTTGGAAGATCTCGTATTAGACTCGATCTCCCTGACAGTCAATGATTCGATAGCTGTATAATCTTTATTGTTGTCTGAAATTATATTGTGTTTATCTTTTGTGGTATTGCTAATTACAGAACTGACTAAATCCTGAAAATCCAAATAGGTCCCTAATTCCAAATTGAGTGACTTCTCTAATCCCACATGTATCTTGTGTGCATCTTGAGGCACAGTCTCATCCTCCTCTTGGCTACTACTGCTGCAGGAGTTGCTCTCTTCACTGCCCGCTCTGGTGCCTCTGGATCTTCGGGAAGACTGGCTTGAGTTCCTTTCCAATCTTCTCCCAGATTGTGATGAGATGGGCAAGATGCTGCTTTGTGTTAAGATCAGTGGGTGCTCGAGGCTTGAACGTCCAGAACCATCCGTGTATCTATTGTCCAGAGGAGTGAGATGTTTGGGTGTCCTTGAACATAGAGTAGGTGGCGTCTGGTAATCACATCACAATAATCAAAATGCTATTAAAGTCAAGATTTTTTACTTGTATTATTTCTATTTTTATAAGATTTCCCTCACCTTTTTCCTGTTCTTGTCATCCCCTGTTTCAACAGCTCTAAGCCCTGTAGTTAATTAAGAAGTTTTATTATATACACTTTCCCTTCATGTGACAACCTTCTCAGAACAAAATCGTTCATTCATGGCACATTCAGACACAACTTAAAAGTAGAGTAGCCCCATTAACTAAGCAAGTACATGTCCTCATTTTTGGTCACACCAACCACAAGGTAGGCAACATACATTTTGTTTGAAAAATACTTCTTGAACATTCTGCAAGCCTCCCCCTTATAGATCATACAAATTATTAGTGGAGATGCGGAGTAGTTTCTGAGCAGCTTAGTGGTAATGTCCATAACATTACCCCAGCTGATCAAAATTCTGGGGTCTGCTGAAATCAGACATTGGGGGTTGAAGATGCACAGCAGCTGGTTCATCCTGTCATAAAATCCGAAGGATGTTTTGCAAATGATGGTTGCTCAAACCAGTTGCTCTCACTATTATGAAAATTATGGAGAGGCTGTTCTTCATGCTTTACCTACTCCTACCTCTGTCAGGATTCTGAAATTCTGACTTCTCCAGCTTCTCATTCTGTTTTTCTAATTGTCACAATCTCCAGGCAATACAAGTAAATGTCCCCTGGATCACACTACCCTAACAATACAGAAATTACTAACACTGGCACTACTTCCCTTCTTGTTCATCACATACGCAGTGCATTTCTACATGTTCTTTAGAAACAATAGAGAGTGATATAGAATTTCTTGAGCACTGGGAAAGCAGTGAAACTGTAACATTCAAATTAATCTGGACTAGTTGAGGAGCTACACCAGGACTCTTGATTCTGGCTATGAACACATCTCCATTGGTGAACTCCATAGTACTCCATGATCTGTTGCTAGTACCTTCTGGTTTGCATGCAGTTTTACTAAAGACAGACGCTGGCAAAATTATCAGTTTACTGCTCAAATCATCACTGCTCATACATTCTATTCAGAGTGGATGACCTAAATGGTGACATTTTTTCACAATCACAACAGAAAATCAAAATACTGCCCTAAAATCACTAGCAGAAAGGCAGCACAATATAAACAAATCAGATACCGAACTCAACGTGGCGGGACGATGGCAGATAAGACTTTCAATTCAGTAGAAAAATGTCTCCTCTTTATAACATAAGGATCACGTCCAACATAATGTTGTGATTTTCTACTTATAACTTTCTTAACCAGCACAGTACGGACTTTCCTCCATCTTGCTCCATTCTGCTTTTCACTTCCTGCCCTCCAACTGAACTCATCATCAGAATCACATGACTGCAAACAAGCTATTAGCCTTAACTCAAGGACCAACTTGCATTTCAGCTGATGCATGTAAGTACAATTTTAATGTTTTACTGTGCTTGTTTTTCCAATGTATTCTGTCAAACTGCATTCCAGGAAGTGCATTTATGCATTATTTATATGTCTTTCTGTACATATCTATTTATCAGCTTCTGTAATTTTTTTTAATACTAGATTTTTTTCCGCAAGTAACAACTGTCTATACTTACTGTTATGAATGTTAGCCCGTGCTTTCAGCAGCACACTTGCATCAAGAAGAGGGTTCATCAGCATTGGTGCAGATTTGCTGAGCTGAGTGGCATGAGCAGCAGGGAGAACGGGTATTGAGGAGGAAGTCAAACTGAGAGATGGATGCAAAGGCCTTACTTTACCCCAGTCTTTTCTACTGCTCCATAGGCTGGGTAAGGATGAAGTCCGACTGAGTGAAAAATTTACATTAGCATGGTTATATTTTTCAAATATAAAAACTCTCTATTTCTATTAAATTTCTATTCTGAAAAGTAAGGGCAGAGCTAAATCTAACACCCTCCCCCCTCTCTCTCTGGCACACCCTGGAATCATAGTCTTATGTTGACGACGGCTTGATCCTGTAACTGTACTCCTCTGTATAGTCTTTGTGTAGAAATGAGAGGGAGCCACTGAATGGACATGGGGTTTCATGCAGGCAGATTGTTTGTGAGGGCAGTTTGTTTGTGCAGTTTATGTATACACAACTGCTGGTGTTGGTGTTTAAGTCTGATTTGTTGACTCATGATTGGCTCTCCTGTTTATCTGAATGCTAATTTAGTTTGAGGAAGTGATGAATGAGTGTGTATGCAGTCAGATGGCTAACCTGCTTCGTTTCATCTCATCTTTGTCTTGTCTGATGTCCATCTTTGGCTCCATACAACCCTCAAAGCAAATCCTGTTATCTGCAGACATCCAAATACACTCTCTAGGTGAAAACTAGGGTCATATGAAACATTCCTAATAGTCCTACTGTAGAGCTAGTATAAAAACTCACAAAAAACTAGATCCACTATCCACAGGAAACACTAAAACCAATACAAATAAATTAAATCCACCAATATTTTAAGATCTATATATCATCTTACATAAATATTTTTAAATGAAATGTCAAAATGTCCCTAGAAGCATTAATCCTTTTATCATATACACATAGACATCACTTTTCATATATATATATATATATATATATATATATATATATATAAATATCTATGAATAAATTACATTTTAAATATATTAAAATGAAAACAGCTATTTTCAATTGTAATATATTTCCTAATATTACTGTGTATACTGTATTTTGGATCAAATAAATGCAACCTTGTGAGCACTTCTGTTAAAAAAACATTTAATACAGTTTACTGACCCCAAAATTTGCGTGTGTGTGTGTGTGTGTGTGTGTGTGTGTACACAAAGAAAATTACCTTTCATAAAGTCTGTCCTCTCTAAAGTAGCCCAAGCCTCACTGAAACCAAATGTTTTACAGTTCCTCTGAGTCTTACATAATCCTTATCTGCAAATTCAGAGGTTCTCTGCTGATGACTCGGTATAGTCTGAGTCAGTCGAAACAGAGGAGCCCAAAAAGCAGAGTCAGACACACCCCTCCTATTGTCATGGATCCTCTGAGGGATAGGCTGAGAGTCTGAGGCTGCAGTGTGTGTGTGTGTGTTTCAGGTTGATGGTTACTGCCAAAGGGGGTGTTTGAAAGCCCAGTGAACACAGAGAATCACTGTCCTTCTGGAATGATTCAGCAGGTGTACAGTACCTCTGACATTCTGTCTTCTAGGATGAGCACAATTAATGTTTGTTAAGTCTATTCCAGCAACTCACCTTGGTGGATGTCTGCATTGTTCTTTTGAGCAATGATTATATCAGCTGATTCTTTCTACAAAAAAAAAAAAAAAAAAAAAAAAAAATTTAAACATTAAACAGAAGTTGCAATAGTCTTTTCTTCCCTATTCTGATGTATATCTGAGTGAAACGGCTTCTTGAACAAGACCAAAAAATATAGGACTGGACTCGATTTTGTCTATCGGGAATTGATTGGATCACTGTGGTTTGCTATTACTGTGATCTTATGTGAGTGACAGGTTGTCCTGCCCTCAAGCCGAAAAACATCATTAGGGAAAAGAAGTGATATCGTTGCAAGAAGGTAAGTTCTTTTGATTAACTATTTTCCCGCCATTGATGGAATTTTCCATTGTTTGACACAACGCTTCCCAGCTATTGATAGAATGTTTTTACTGTTTATACGGCCTTCTGAAAAAGTATAAAATCTCCAGATCAAAACATGTTTAAAAAGGAAACCGAGACGAGTAATAAAAGTATTGCTTATGTACGCTGTAGTCTTTGACAAAACGTGATGCATTAAGCAAGACTTTGTTTAAAGCAGAATGCTCTGTTAATTCTTTTGAATATATTGCATCTATATTCATACAGCAAAAATATTCTGGGGGGTCATTACTGTTTTGTAAAAAAAATATCAAAAATGCTTATGGTGACTGGCAACAGGTGGCATAATTGGTGGCAGGGAAAGAGTTAGTTTATGAGGGCGCATGAATTTAAAAAAAAAAGTTTATCGATAAACCATTTATAATAAATACAGCAATATTTCTTGAAATATTTGAAATGTCAATTTTGATTTCATGGTTACTTTAAAGTTCAGAAAAGGAAAGATGGTTTAAAATGACAGCTGGTATGCAGCAAGAAACAAAACTGCATAAAAGCTGTGAGGTTGACCGTCCCATACAATTACCTCTTACAGAATCACACATGACTAATTCACCTGTTGACTACTGACCATCTGGAGGTGGTCCGTTCAATCAACTAACAAACACCATCATTAGCCAGCTGTGATGCCTGCTGTGACCAAGGCTCAGCCAAATGGAACGTCATGAACGGCTTAATTAAAACATTTAAATGTAGCAAATAAACTACATTTAACTGGTATTGCCTTTACAGTCCCACTGATACATATTTATTATTTTATGCAGCTTATGCTGTAAATATATGTCCGCTTTTGTTTACAAAGTTCACAAGGATTTCTGTGGGAGACACTGGCAATATTCACTGCATTAATTAGTAAGTCGTGTTAAAGCACCTGACCTTCATCTTATCTGAAACTGGTGTGCAACAGCCACGTGTAGGACAGCAGCTGGAGTGTACAGAAGGACTCGTTGACCAATAAGACTCGTCCAGACACGAGAATATTGTATCTCCAAAATACAATACAAACACTAAAATGAGTAAATGCATCGAGAACATAAACTGGTTTCTAAATGAAAAGAAAAGTGTTTACCTGTTTGCATTGAAGACTCCATTATTTTAAAGAGATCTTCCTTCTTGGTGCTCTTGATCTGAGAGACGTACCACAAAGCAGTGTGACCTCTCCGATCAAGCATCCTTGTGTCACTGGAAATCAGAACACGTGGATCAGTGAGAGGCCTACGAAATCAAATACCTTACAGATCCAAGAAGTAAAAATAATAACTGTAGGCTTAATAAAATTGAAATAGGTTTCCTTACGCCTGAAGAGACACAAGTTCCTTCACCACTTCCACGGGTTGATATTCCCATGGCATCTCCAGTCCTTCAAACAGATCCACATCCCTTACAGCCAGCATCAGTGGGGTCAGACCATCTCTGTTCTGTTTATTTAAGTCCATCAAGTCTGTCCGGGCCTGCAACACATAAACAATATTAGACTCGTTTGTTGTAATTCCTTCCAGCCATTGCCTGAGGTGAGTGTAAAAATATATCATGACAGATGGCCAATACTGATCCATCAGAGATCTCCCTATGGAGTCTGGCCTGCTTTGTCTGATATCACATTTCAAGCAGTCAAATGGCAAGTGTAAGTTAAAGTCTGAGCTGCTCACCATCAGGTCCTGTAGACAGTAGAGATCTCCCCACCAGGCTGCTAGTGAGAGCTGCCTCTGGCGCGGTACGTCTCTCATCATAGCCATCAACAGCTCCCCCTGGAGTGCTGGTTGACTAACATGAAGAGCTGTCTGGTTGCTATGGTTACAAAGTGTAGCGTCAGCTCCTCTTTCCAGAAGGAAATGCATCACCTGTGTTCAAAATGTATGTTTGAGTAGTTTGAGCAATGCACTGATGGTGGTGATATTAAGACCAACATCACGATTGCAAGTGTGATATTACAACAATTAAATTAACAATAAGTTAATATGGAGTAACCTACATGGCATTCGCAGTTACTTTACTATGTTTGTTCCACTAGTGAAAATCGTTCAAATTGAAGCAACATCAAAATTATATGTTGCCATTGTGCTGTGCCTGTGGATGAGTCAGTAATTTTGAACTAATTGGTTGAGTAAATGATTCAATGACACACTCATAAACACTTGGCTATTCAAAATTACCTTCATTGCACCATTTTCTAAATACTACTCTAATAGATCCCACTAAGTGAGTGAGTGAAAACTTTTTATTCATTTTGGCCGTTCATTTACACAACAACAGGGATTTGGAAGCCAGACGATTGAAAATGATACAAATACAAAACGTAAGTTTGTGAAAAAAGTTGCGTCATGCACACGTGTTCAGTAGCCGTATAGTGTTTTTTTTTTTTTTTTCTTTTTTTACAAAGTGACATCACCAACTATTGCCCTGGCATGCATAATACAGCATTTTTTGTCATTTTCACGGATTCACGCGAATGGGAATCACTCTGAAAACGGCGTCTGTACGCAAAAAACGCAAAGAAAAAAAAGTTTCAATTTTTAGTACATTGTTGTTGTGTAAACATACCATGAGTGCAGTGGAAGTGCTCTTCTGTCAAGATGTGGGAATTCATTCACCTTGACTCTCACAGTGCATGTATTCTCTAGCGCAGCGGTCGGTAACCTTATGGATAATTACTGAAGTGCGCACCTCTGGTCACATGAATGGTTTGTCGAATCTGTGCACTAGGACAGGTTAAAATCTCACACTTTTTTATAGTATTATATCACCTAACTTATAAAAAAAAGGCTGTGTGACTATGATGAATAGTTATCTCAAAATGTACATCTGAATGCAAGCTTGAGGGACTTTAACTAAATGAAATAGGCCTACAAACATTTCTTTAGCTTTTGTCTCATTTCAGTGATTATCCCGAGGTTGCCGACCCCTGGTTGTACACTCGTTATTGAGGTACTTTATGAGAGCCCACTCAATAACTTCCAGATGATTTGAACACCGCTACATGGTTGTCCCATCAAATAAATAAAGGTACAGAGGGTGAAATCATAGTCATTTTCATTCCTGAAAGAATGTTTAGAATGAATTGATTGAGTGAATTATTCACCCACTCATCAAAACATGTGATTTGTCACCACTTATGGTGTATCGATGTACACTGCACAAAAAGTCACTGCAAAATCCTCATAACCAATGCACAGACACAAACAAAAGGAAAAACTCGTTGTTTAATCTTTAATACAGCTATTAAATAAAGAAAACAGGAAGTAGTAGAAACACTAAGTGAAATGGAATTCCCATTTTATCACAATCAATGCAATACACCCCATTACACTACAATAGATTTACTACACAGAAGTCAGCTATAGTTTCTGCCTAGTTTTCATCATAACACCGTAAGGTCTCATACCCTAGTAAGACCCTAAGGTCTCATACCCTAGTAAGACCCCTCCTGCAGGCACTGATAAGGGGAGTGCAGCCTTGTGAATCATGAGACAGGTCAATTTCTTCCCAGGAGTAGATCCCCTGTTCCAGCCCCAGAGTCACAGCCTCAAGCTCTTCCTTCAACAGCTGCTCCACAAAGCTGCTTCTTTCATGTTTATTCATGCTCTAGTGTTCTGGCAGACGCACAAACACAGAAATTAGCTGCAGTTCTGGTGCACTAGCTGCAATGAATACCATCCTCAGTGTTCACAACAAGTGATGCAGTAAAAATGGTGCAATACAATACTAATACTTTAAGTATTTTTTTTTTACATATGATACAAACCAAATAGTTTTTTTTTTCTTGCCTACTTATTAACAGCTCATAATTGACTAATAAACAAAAATGAATGATCATGTATTTATCCATTAGAAAAAGAGAAGCTCTTGTGAGCCAAAAAGAACAATTTATAATGCATAACGTTATGCATAGAACTTCCAAAGACAAATAATTTTATGTTAAAGTAGTTCTTATTAAATAAGAGACCATAAAAAATGTTTTGTTGTTGCTGCTACCTACATTAAAACCAGCAAGACTCACCAGTGTCACTCATCTGTGCCTCTCTGGATTGAAATGTTTGAGTTAAATGAAGTCAAATTAGTTCCAATGTTTACGTCCTTGTGTTTCAAGGGTCAGTCCTTTGTCTTCATTGCGTCTTTGCCTGAAGCAGATTTGAGTTTACAGCCTGTTGCCAAGGAGACTCTGCCAAGGAGAGCTTTGGCATGAAAACAATGAACTCACCGTGAGACCTTTGTTTTGGTTTCTAAGGGGAAGTGTGCATTTTGTATTTCATAATTCTTAAAGACATATTGTATTGTTCCAATATTTTACACCTGTTCCAAAAAATGTATTTCCCAGTCAGCATATAAACTGTCTCTTGTAGCCTCTTTGCATGTGTGTTAAGCAGCAGCAGTCCTGGGAATCATTATGTGGAGATACAGTTGCAGTGATTGACCTTCACTGAGGCCAACAGCCTTTATAGGCAGAATTACATCGCTCTTTAATTCTACTGCATTAAAGGATCATACACTGTGATCCACTTCACTGATTTGCTGATTTAACTGAATCCTTGCATTTTACAGTACTCACTGTAACACCATCACATTTTAGATTTAGTGGGAACTTTTTAAGGTTTAACATTAAATATCAGACATCACATAACATTCAAGACTTGAACAGCCAAACACAACACAACGAACTCTAGTGGCCACTGCTGATGATTTCTCAATTTCACAGTTATTGAATGCAAAAAAAAAAAAAAAAAAAAATTAAATCCCTCCAGCGGGAAATACTTGTTTGTATTATTAATTCCACTTCTGTGCAATTTTTATTTATTTATTTATTTATTTTATTGGTCGATGTATATTGTTTTAATGCATTGTTTGGTCCGCTTGTTATGTGCCACGGGTGCAGGAAGGCAGAAGATATATATATGAAGAGTTCAGATGCAAAAGCCTCTAAGTGCCATTTGAAATTTTCTTCTAGAATGATCATTTTTATCAAGCTTGTATATTTAAGTTCAGTAATTTCAGTTAAATTGCAATGAGGATTACCTATTAATTGTCATTTAAGTGAAATTACTGAACTTGAATATATAAGCTTGATAAAAATGATAATTTTAGAAGAAAATTTCAAATGGCATTTAGGCTTTTGCATCTGAACTCTTCATATATATATATTGCATTTTGAATAATAGAACATTTCTCAGTGATCATAAATAAAACAAAATTCCATTTTCTCGGTTTAATAAAACCAATAGGTCGTTATGGCAGAGGCAAATAAACATCCGGATATCTCTCCAATGGAGCGTGTTAAAGCAAACGTGTAAGTTTCACGTTTGAGGGGGTTAAACCGTGACATCTACACATTTTCCAAAGTGGACTATTTAGGCTGCTTCATTAAAAAAGTGACATTTAGATGTTTTTTTCAGCGTGGATCGAGGCAAATGAATCATGTTCACCTTGAAAATAATAAATGCCCAACGCTTTATCAACTGAGCCACTGAATCTGTTGAGTTCAAGGGTGTATGGACGGTGTTTTATTGCGGGTTTGGTTTTATTTGTTGGAAAAATAAATATAGAAATATAATTTGACACAAGAGGGCAGTATAGCCCTATTTATGGTTCTGAGTTTAAACTAAACCGTGACATCTACACGTTTTCCAAACTGGACCAACGTGATTTTACTCATTACTATACAATTCAATGTGGCAGTAGATCAAGTCACGCAACATTCAACAGTCATACAATTTAACAGTGTTGACACTTTTTTTTGTTATTCTAATTGTTTTAGTGTCATATGTGATTAAAGTCAGAAAGGAAATTATTTAATTGGGGTTGATAAAGAACAACCTTGTAGCTACATTTCTAAATTAAATATTTTGCCAATAAAATAATTACATATGTATTCTATTTTATGGTTCGTGAATTAGGCTAAGATTATGTCACACAATAAATCAAAGTCCAATTTTGATTTTGAGGCAAGGAATTTTGAAAGGTCAGACCAAAATTATTTGGCAAGGGGTCATTTATAGAAAATATGATCAACTGACTCCGAACTGAATTTACATAAATTACAATTCAAGTGAACATAACCAAATGTATACGTGATTTCCTTGGTGGGCTACATGTAATGTTACGGTATTTTTTTAAATCACCTTGTGATGATGCATAGGCTAAATGAGTGTAGGCCTAGCTACATAAATTATAAGACAATTCCCCTGCTATTGAATTCTTTATTTTTGGCACTTTTTAATTAGAGCTACTTGCCTTGGGCACTTTTAATGAACTCTCCCTGTTGCTGTTGCAGTCACGGACAGCTCTGCTGAGAGGCGCTGTTGGACAGCAGAAGCGCGCGTGGAAGGAGCGGCTCGCCGTCAGTCAGAGCGCGTAGAGCCGCAGGAGGTGGACCGTGGAACTGTCCAGTGCTGATGCTCTTCCAACGATCGACTTCAGCTACGAACAGCCACCGCCAACGACAACAAAGCTGTTGTTAAGTGATGATATGATATGTTACACGATATTTAAAACGGTGTCCAGGAGTTTTATCTGAGATTGTTTTCAGGTTCAACGCTTCTTTCGCCCAGCCAATAGGAAGGGACCGTACGGGCTGAACGGCTGACAAGCATCGAGACATTTTGATTGTTTGATTGATGCATTCCTCTGCAGACTGCTGGGTGGATGACTAGATCTGCTGACCGGAGAGAAAGTTTCGTTAGATAAAATCAGTATCATACACGATGGTGGATGCAGCTGAATGTTGTGTGAAGGTGATGTGCCGATTCAGGCCACTTAACGAATCGGAAATCACCAGAGGTGACAAATACATTCCGAAATTCAAAGGAGAAGACACTGTGGTGATAACGGTAAGATGTCTTTAGAGTCTACAGATGTTATAAGGCGGACAGAATGTTCCTGTATCTTTTTTATACGATCTTAATTTCGTTAGGCTATTTGTGCAGGAGATATCCATATGATGTAACTTTAGATAAATATAGCCTATCACTCTATTGTGACTCATTTGTGTGATCATTTCTTATCTGTCTGGGTGAATCATCCGATGGCTCTTTCATTTCAAAAGGTAGGCTAAGTCCTGAATTCAGGGCTTGCTCGTACAACGTTCTTGGATTTTTGTTTTTTTAGACAGTCAACAATTTCATTTGAAAAGCAAACTTTTTTTAATTGTCGCATTTTAAGTTATCTATGCTTTTAGAAGCATTATAGCATTGAACATGCTTTATTTCGTCTTACTTTTGAAAGTATGAAAACAGATACGAAACAGAAAACAAACATTTGAAGGTTTATGTACAAAAATGTCAATCATTAACTAATATAACAAATTATATATATATATATATATATATATATATATATAAAATAAATGGCACATTACATAAAATAACACGTGGTAATTTCCCCCCCAAAAAAACATTGTCCAGAGATCACAATTCATCTTCATTAGTTGACTTTTGTAAATTACACTTAACTCAATAGATGTAACAATGTGAAATGTTAGTTTGGAGGACAGAATTCACCAAAAAAAATCTCACTCATTGTTTTCATGTCTCGCCACAATAACTTTGGTTACTTTAATATCATAATTTTCTTAGTGGCCATCAGATGCGACAGATTTATGTAATAATAATTTAGAATGGTAAGTTGTTTGTTGATTGAACTTACGTTCTACTTTGTTTTGAATGGAGAGGTAGAGAGTGCTTGTCAGCCACGTGCAATGCTTTCAATTTAGGACTTGGAAGTATTTGTGGTTTCTTTGGAAAATGATTATTATGGGTCAGAGCCTTGTTTCATTTGTCCTTTAATAACACAGTATGGTAGTGATTAAATGAAAGAGCATTTGATACCTGAAAAAAAAAAGTGTTTGTGTGGGTGGGTGTGTGTGACATACTATAAATAAGCTGGAGTGTCAATGCAGAAAGATACTGATGGTTTTTATGTTTTACAGTAAACCCCCGAGAAATCCCTTGTGCAAACACAATAGACCATATTATCCGACCCATTGAAATGGTAATCAGCATTACCATGCCTAATCTGCACAGAAAATCGAGCGTAGCAGGTATTAGACTCCTACTTCTGATGTAAATTCTCTTTAATGGTGCCTTGCAGGCTATGCACAGCCTGATGGTCCTCCTAATGCCAGACATTCAGCTTTAGGATACAACTGTGGTTTTGAATGGAGATCTGGTTAATATATGTACATTTATTATACTGTCAATGTTTAACTACCTGCATCTCATTAGTGATTGTTGTTTAGTAGCGAACCTGTCTGTGTGGTGTCACAGAAAGTCTGATCTTTAAAAACAGATTGTAAACGTCAATAAAATCAATTTCATTTGTGGGGGAAGGGGGAATTTCACACCTCCTCCCCCAACAGTTTGGATGAACTGGGAATAAAAAGAAATATCTATCTATCTATCTATCTATCTATCTATCTATCTATCTATCTATCTATCTATCTATCTATCTATCTATCTATCTATCTATCTATCTATCTATCTATCTAACTATCTATCTATCTATCTATCTATATATATATATATATGAACTGGAAATAAAAGAAATGTCTATATCATTTGTCTTGATGAACTGGAAATAAAAATTAATTTATGAAACTAATTCTGCAAAATAACTTTATATGATGCAAATAAAACGGTAAATTAAGAATCTTAAATATTATTATCTTCTGCATCGTAAAATGAAATGAATTTTTAATCCACTTCTGAATTATTCATTAAAATGTATTGATATAATATAGACTTAAATTGTGAAGAAAACTAAATTTAATTTTAATTGAGTAATAATCGATAGTGTAATATTACGTATTATTCATTATTAAAATGTATTGTTTTAACTCTCTAATTCATAAAAAAATTCAGCAACTTTGCAACTATTTTGAAGAAAATAATTCACCTTACAGGATAATTATTTCTTTACATATGAATTAATTATTTAAAATAAACAAAAGTAATTAAAGAGGTTGCAAGCTTTGTCTTTGCATGTAAACTCCTTGAATGACTGTCCACCCACAAAACGATTGCAGGGAGATTTACAGGACAGTTTGTGACTGTGAGTAATCACTAATTATTTGCAGCATGTTAGCATCAGTCTGGATTTGATGTTTTTGCATTATGAGGGTAGTCTGGTCAGCTGTGTTTAATGTGGTGGAAACGTCTTATTATATGTGCAAGGCCACAGAGAGGCCCAGGGCTCCTGAGTAATTTACGTTGCCGTAGTGACAGAGGTGCCATTTGAGGGGCCAGGGCTGGCAGGGAACGTTTAGGCTGCGATTTAGTTGAATATTTAAGCAAGTCCACTGAGGATTGGGACAATCTTGTTTGTCACGCACATAGTCACATTCATGTTGCTTGTAGAAACCCTTTAGTTGCCTATTTATTTTTTATATTTTAACATCACCACCCTTACATTTACTGCATTATTAGATTTATTTGTGATATGCACATCATTTATTTGAATACTGCATGTAGTCTGCTATTTCTATTCTACTGAAATGGACAGGAAAAGATGCATTATCCTTTCAAGCAGGAAGTATAGGATTTTGATTGAAGCTGGTAAAATCCTGAGCACTCTTGAAAAAGCCTTGATGGTCCCTAGATAGTGTGCATAAATTATTGACTTAAAGAACACATGTGCTTTTATATACAGCCTGTGTTTATATTTATAAAGGATATAGTGTTCAGACTACAGCACAAATGCAAGTCAAATGGAAGATTTAGCGTACATGCCCTTGTCTGCTTCTGCAGTTTCATCTGAGATATTTCACTAAATATAAAATACTTTTAAAAACATATATGCCTTTTTATAGCAGTTTTACGGTAATTATTTTGTATCACAATTATTCTAAATTACAAAAATAAATTAAATTTGCATTAGAGTATTTGTCTCAGAAAAGATTGCCTGTGTGCTGAAAAAAAGGAGCGAGATGGAAGGAAGAGATCATTGTATAGCAATCATATTATTCTCCTCCACTATTGGCCAGGAGACAGGTGCTGACTGCCGGCCAATCAGGGCTTTTCTTTCTGAGTGGGATGTTGTTTCCGTGGTGACGGTCTGGGTTTGAGCAACAGCTTTCATTTGTGTCTCAGTGGGAATGCTTGACCCCTACCTGCTTAATCAAACAGACAGACAGAGAAATCATGCGTCTGTGTGAACGCAGCAGAACTGCTGTCTGCATGTGATGTCTTAGATTATCAACAGGGTAAATGCATGTCAGGGATATTTCATTTCATCTGTTTTAGGTCAGCTGGTCCGTATGTTAGATTTATTGATGTTTTAGTAAGGCATCTCTCTCTCTCTCTCTCTCTCTCTCTCTCTCTCTCTCTCTCTCTCTCTCTCTCTCTCTCTCTCTCTCTCTCTCTCTCTCTCTCTCTCTCTCTCTCTCTCTTCATATGAGAGAGTATATGTGTGCATATGGGTGGAGGAGGATGTGGAAAAGCTGCTGTCAGCAGTACATGAGCTCCCCATGATATCGGTGTGCATATGTAAAAATAACACGGTCACACTTTAATATTAGGGGGTATTAAGTGTGTTAGGTACTTAAATTTTAGGTATGTGTGTTTATTGTGTTCATGTTGTATTGCAAAATGCTGCTATTGAGGTGTGATAAAGTATAAGGTTAGGACTGGTTTGGTGGTGTGGTTAGGTTTAAGGCTGGGTTAACGTCTGAGGGAAGAGTCAACAGTGCAATTACAGAAGTTAATTTCAGCTGTAATTACAAGTAGGTATATTTGTACAATGTAATATGTACTCAATTCATGCAATGTATCAAATGATTAATTTAAATGTTAGGAGTTAAAGACACTTAATATATGAGTCAGAATGCTAATGCTAAAAATATATCTTGGTTAGCTGATTTTGCACTATATGTAGGCTACAGTAAAAGTCAGTATGCTGCTTACTATTTTTATATTACTTTTTATAAAAAAAAGTTTAACCACAATGGTTAGACAAAAAAGGATAGATTATCTTATATGGGAAAAAGAATGGAAGTGGAGAAAGAATTCCTGTTCTACATTTATGATTAGGGTCCAATTCTCACTATTAATTAACTATTATTTGACTTTTGCCTCCATAAACTCCTCATTGCTGCTTATTAATAGTTGTTTGTTAGTTGTTATTGTTTAGGTATTGGGTAGGAATTAAGATTGGGGGTGTAGAAGATGATTATTCAGAATAAGGCGTTAATGTGTGCTTTGTTTGTTCTAATAAACAGCCAATATCCTAGTAATGCATGCTAATAAGAAAGTAGTTAATAATGAGAATTGGACACTGAACTAAGGTGTTACCAGCTTTTGTAGTAATGAATGCTTGCAAACACATTTCCAACACTCTCCGGTTTCCTAGCTTAGCATTTTAATTTATAGGCTAGTTTATGTATTTGTTAAAAAATGTTCCACTGCACATGGTTATTTCTTTGGAGAATTATTTCTCATTGCACAGCAGTTTCAAAGTATCCAGATCTTTCAGCAGGTTCGGGCTTCAGCTCAGAGAGTCAAAACAAAAAAAAGAGAGGGATTTGTTGTGGCTCAATAAGATTGACTGGCAGTTGGGGGATGGGCTTTATTCATCACAAGGTCCTTCTTATTTCCTCTTTAACAATGTATACCACTGAAATCCTCTGGGGAACTTCATAAATAGCCGTTAGTTGAATCTGTGCAGCATCAGCAATAGAAAGAGGCTGTCTGACGTCTCTATGCAGTAATACAATATTGCATGAATGAATAAGATATATAATGAAATCAAACTTGTTTATCTGCATTTGGCTAAAATAATAGAAACTTAATAGAGTTAATAGAGAGAAGCTTAAAACAAAATATTAAAGATATTTTCTCTCAGAGATACCCTTTGAACCCTTTTACTTGTTCCTGTTCATTACTTGCATCTTGACTAATCTGTTTGTCTTTTTAGGGCAAGCCTTATATCTTTGACCGAGTCCTTCCTCCGAACACCACACAGGAACAAGTATATGATGCCTGTGCCAAACAGATTGTTAAAGGTGGCGTATAGTTGCATGAACAAGTATGAAAGGTTACATTGACCTGGCAAAAAATGAAAAGTTGTAACACGAATCTTGCATTTCAGATGTGCTGGATGGCTATAATGGGACTATCTTTGCTTATGGCCAAACCGCATCTGGGAAGACTCACACAATGGAGGTAAGGCAGAAAAAATATATCATATAACGATTTGTATCAAGTTCACATATTTCAATTTTTCAATAACAAAGTAACCTTTCAGCACTGTGTCACTATGCTCAGTCACAAAATGCTCTCGACTGATGAATATCTCTCGGCATCTTTCATGAAATGACTGAAATGCCAAACTGCTGCAACAGCAGCAAAATGCCACTTAACTGCAAGTGTTGCCTTGGAAACAGACTGTGCTTGCGGCAAAGGTTTTGAATATAAAGTCAATAAATTCAGTTATTTGAAAAATGTTTCTAAAAATTAATCACTTTGTAGCCACTGAAAGGTGCAAATTAGCATGCCAAGCAGGATGTCCTCATACCGTTTTTGCGGCAGCTCTGTATATTCCTATGGCATCGCAGTTGAAGAGTAATTAGCTGGTAAAATAGATCTACTAACGAAAGCATTGAAATGTTTGAAGCGGATGACAATTGTCAGTAGAGGAACATTTTAAAACGAGTGGTTCATTCATAAATCCGTAAGAACTTTCCTTCATGCTGTGGAACTACAAACTGGAAGACAGAACACAATGGGCGCAGCGCTGAAAAGGGGCGGGACTATGGAGAAGGGAATACTTCAATACAGAGCTTAGTTCTTACATAAGTTACACTAACTGGCAGAAATAAGTGCCATCTTAACAAATATTTCCTCTGAATTGTCCTCTATAACATGCACACAGGGACAGCTCCACAACCCCCAGCTGATGGGCATCATCCCTCGCATTTCCCAGGACATCTTTGATCACATCTACTCTATGGATGAGAACCTGGAGTTCCATATCAAGGTATGGACCATTTACACAGACTGTGATGACACGTGATTTCTACGGTTATTAACATTTTTTATTATATTTTCATTTGTAAAAAATGTAATGTACGGTTATATAAGACTATACTTTGTTATATTACTTTGTCTTTACATTTCAGAAAAGTAGTTAGCGCTGCTGTGTGACTGTTTCTAACACAACGGTTGAGGGAGTGATGGCAAATGAGTGACAATCTCTTTATTTTTTTTTTTTCCTCTTTTAAAAAGTCATAGAAACACTATCGGGAATTTTTATCATTTGCTATTGGATCAAATGGGACTGCAGAAATTGTAATTGAAATTTCCATTTATCACTATAGAAGTTTACCCAACTATGATGACTTCTGCTTCTGAGAAACCCTGAAATATGGAAAGGGTCCATTAGGGAGCTGGAATTATTCAACATTAAATCTGCTTGTTTATGTTCACATGTGAATCCATCAACTATTACATAGTAACAATTAGAAAAAAAATGTTAAGCTTAGTAGTTGTTTAGAAGAAATAATAGAATGTCTCTGACGTAAAGTGAGTATATTCAGTTATGGGGTATGTTAATACAGTATTGGACTGTTGTTTGATATCATGTCCATTAATGTAGAACTGAATCATTAAATTATAAAAAAATAACAGCCACCCATTTATCACAGGTATCTTATTTTGAAATCTACCTGGACAAAATCAGAGACTTGCTCGATGGTAAGATAAAACTAAAAAAAGAATAATAATAATAATATTCATGTTTTTTTTTTTCATAGTGTAAATTACATTTTTGTTGTCTAATCCTAAAGTTTCCAAAACCAACCTGGCTGTACATGAGGATAAGAACAGAGTGCCCTTCGTCAAGGTAGGACAGATGCACAATACAGTGTTTTTCAGTCACAGGCTTGAAACAAACACTTCCTTGATGTGATGTGTCTTTTGATGCTGTTCTGTTGCCAGGGTTGCACGGAGCGTTTTGTGTCCAGTCCAGAGGATGTCATGGATGTGATTGACGAGGGTAAAACCAATCGTCATGTGGCTGTCACAAGTAAGTGGCTATTTAACCTAATTTATCTGAATATAATACATCACATTCTGAATCAAACATAACTAATGTACAGTTCACTGTTGTTTTCACCTTGTTACACTGTTTTTACCCTAACTAACACAAGGTCATCTGATGTTACATTGTGTTACAGACATGAATGAGCACAGCTCCCGCAGTCACAGCATTTTCCTCATTAATATCAAGCAGGAGAATGTGGAGACAGAGAAGAAATTGAGTGGAAAACTCTACCTGGTGGATCTAGCAGGAAGTGAAAAGGCATGTTTTATTTATTTATTTTTTCTTTCTGTATTTGTCTTTGTTTTTGTTTGGAAAAATCTAGTCGCTCTAGCTATATCTAGAAAAGCAGTACCACAAATTTATATATATATATATATATATATATATATATATATATATATATTAGTGCTGTCAAAATGTTTCAATTTAATGCGTTAAAAATATTTTTACCACAATAAATGCAGCATCCAATTTTTTATGTCAGCCTCTGGCTAGCATTACAATATATGATCACACTCTTGTTCTCAGTCTTAGAATTGTTCAAAAATCCTGACAGAGTCATAATAAACCTACAAATAGGTTTGAGAATGATATAATATCTCCACACTCTCTCACACACACACACACACAGGTCAGTAAAACTGGAGCAGAAGGATCTGTGTTGGACGAGGCTAAAAATATCAATAAGTCTCTCTCTGCTCTGGGGAACGTCATCTCAGCCCTGGCCGAAGGAACCGTAAGTGCTAAAGTGCTACCCAGACGTTTTCTTTTTTCCTTTCTCTTTTTATTTTCTCACTGAAATACTTTTTGTGTACATTGTTTGTACATAATCTAGGCCATGTATACACCTCTCACAGTACAAAGCAATACATTTGCGATCTATACATTATTTATGTCTTGCCTTATATTTCTCATTACAGAAAACCCATGTACCCTACAGAGATAGTAAAATGACCAGGATCCTTCAGGACTCTTTGGGTGGGAACTGCAGAACAACCATCGTCATCTGTTGCTCTCCCTCTGTATTTAATGAGGCTGAGACCAAATCCACTCTCATGTTCGGCCAGAGGTGAAGCCATTATATGCCCTATAATGTTTCTCCTAAAATTAAGAAAGTCAGAAATTCAGTGCTGCGGTAAATATGAAACAAGCATGTGCATATACAAATAATTTATTTTATTTTGATGAAATAACTCTCTTTCACGCAGGGCCAAAACCATCAAAAACACAGTTTCTGTTAACATGGAGCTCACAGCTGAGGAATGGAAGAAGAAATATGAGAAAGAGAAAGAGAAGACCAGAGGTCTGAAAATCATCATCCAGCGGCTAGAAAATGAGCTCAAGCGATGGCGAAAAGGTAAATAGAGAAAACACACACAGCCACTCCAAATAATAAAATATCACTTTGCTGTTACAGACTGAAAAGATATTTTTATTGATTTTAATGTATAAATTGTTTTATTATTATATTTTTTGTTAATTAGGACGATGAGAAACATTTCATTGGAATGATGTTTGACATTTGAAGCAGTTTATTTGAAAATACTGTAATGGTTGAGAAGATGCGTATCATTTGGTTTTTTGCAGAGGCCAGTTGATTTTTGATGTAATTGTCTTGACAAAAGCTCATTTGAGTTCTGAAATGGACCCCGCAATGAGGGGAGCCAGTTATTTCTTTCTCCTCTGTTTGCTTAAGACTTATTGAGGTCATAGCCGATTTTTGTTTTTGAGTAAAATAATGATGTTTCCATAGAGGAAATGAAGTAATTCAATAGTATATGTTAATATATTATTATATTGATGAGAAATTGACACAAATTGGCTTTCATGTAAACCATGTGTGTGTACTGATGACAAACAGCCACAATAATTGACAATGATAAATACCAATTAGCACTAATTACTCAGATTGTGGAAGGGTAAACACATAATGACTCTAAACAGAAGGCCTGTCATTAAGTGAATGCATGTTTGCTACAAAGCACTAATGTATATGGCTAAAAATATTCACTTTCCTTTAATATTTTCAGTTACATATTCAGCCTCAGACCTCAGTTCAAAGCTTCACTTTATTTCTCCTTCTCTGAATCCTGAGATGTTTTTGTCATTCTCTCAGTATGTCTCACTTTCTCTCATGCATTCCCATGAATAGGTTTATTTTTCTCTGTCAGTGTTATCAGCTCCCCTCCACCTGTACTGCCCAATAAAACACACAGATGCTGAGTTCAAGATTTCTCTCCCATCTCAGACTTATAAAGCCCAGATAAATCCCAGAATGAATGTGGCTCTGACTCTTTGTGCAGCTGTTCTTTCATTCACGTCCAGTCAGTGTTTTTTATCATCAGGTCTGCAGGACTGTTTCCTGGAAGCCTTGTTCATTTTATTAGTTAAGGAACCAGAGCCTTATTTTATATTTTATTTTATTTATTTTGACATATTTCACTCCTTTATCTTCAGGTGAGAATGTACCTGTTAATGAACAGCACAGCAGTAAAGAATCAAAGAATTCTGAAGCCCCTCCCATAATTGACACTCCGGCTCCGCCTCCTGAGCCTCTTCCTGATTCAGAGAAAACCCGATATGAGGAGCTGATCAATGACCTATATCAGCAGCTAGACGACAAGGTGATAAATACCTCTCACACGCTGTTAGAAATGTGCATCAGGAAGTGCAAGCCTCACAATTCATTCCTTCTTCTCTCTTTCCCATTTTCACCACAGGATGATGAGATCAACCAGCAGAGTCAGCTGGCAGAGAACCTGAAGCAGCAGATGGTGGATCAGGATGAGGTGAGTCCGAATCAACATAGAGATGCCCTCTACAATAATTTATGATGTCTTCCCATGATCCCTTGCCTGCAATGGGTCTGAAGGAACCACTTTACTTATTTAAACATGCATAGGCGATGGAATGTTTATCAAAACACATGCTTGAGGTAAATATTAGTTGAAAATAATTGATGTTCATCATCTCACTGCCTATACTCAGAATTTCCTGTCCGGTACAAAGAGCATCTCTCAAGCGGCTGCAAAGCAAAATTGCTCCTAATTATTCAGGTGGAAATAAATGTTGTTCCCATGGAAACAGTTTTGTAGCATCTCTGTTGGAGTTTTCTCCTCTTTTGAAACATTTGGACATATCTTTGTATTGCCATATTTCTGCTTCTCTATCCATTTTGCTGATGATTCTAATGAAATCTTACTTGTTCTTCTAATGAACTTTCAACTGCTTTTACTTCCATGAGAGGAAATAATGCAGCACTTTTTTCAACACGATAGTTTTGCTATCACTTATTGTACACACAACCTTTCAAAAGTTTGTGGTAAGTCTATTGGAGTCTATTCTGCTCACCAATGCTGGATTTATTTGATCAAATACAGTAAAACATTAATATTATAAAATATAACTGTTCTATATTTGAACATATTTTAGTTTGTAATGTATTCTTGTGATGGCAAAGCTGGATTTTCAGTCCCGTGATCCTTCAGAAATCATTCTAATATGCAGATTTAGTGTTCAAGAAACATTTCTTATTATTATCAATTTTGAAAAAGTTGTGCTGCTTAATATTTTTGTGGATTTTTTTTCAGGATTCTATAGTGACAAGAAAGATCAAAAGAACAGCATTTAGTTCAAATAGTAAAGATTTTGGATTGTTACAAATGTTTCTGTCACCTTTGATCTGTTTAATGCATCCTTGTTGAATAAAAGTATTAATTAAGACTCCTATCTTTTTAATAGTATTGTATATATTAATGGCATCCACAAATAAGCAGGAATTCGACTGTCCTCTGACTAACATAAATGTGCGACTTCCCCATTTTGCATCCACACAGTTATTGGCATCCACACGGCATGACTATGAGAAGATCCAGGAAGATCTGAGCCGTTTGCAGCATGAGAACGAGGCAGCAAAAGGGGAGGTGAAGGAGGTGCTCCAGGCCTTAGAGGAGCTAGCGGTGAATTACGACCAGAAAAGCCATGAGGTGGAGGAGAGAGGCAAAACAAACCAACAGATCTCAGAGGAGCTTTTGCAAAAGAGCGTAAGTACAATGGAGAGAAGGGAAAGCGAGAAAATAAATATCATGGAAAAACTCATGTAACTGAAGAATTCATTGATTTTATGCTGTTATTGTCTTCTAGGCCGCTCTGACTAGTGTGGAGAGGGATCTGTGTGCCCTGCAGGAACTCAGTGGACATCACAAGAAGAGATCAGCAGAGATCCTCAGTCTACTGCTCCGGGACCTCAATGAGATTGGCAGTGTTATTGCCTTGAATGACCACAAGGTAAGAATACACTCCTTCATAGAGAAAGTTTAACTGCACAACACAAAAGCCCAATAATAATGTTTACTTAAAATACACACACACACACACACACATACTATATATATATATATATATATATATATATTATTTATATTTTTATTATTATTAATATTATTTTAACTTACTTTTTTTAGTATTCTGAGTGCATTTTACTTTCTTTTTTATTTAATGTTATATAATTGCAACTAAAATTTCATCATCGCCAAGAATACACATCTCACAAAACATACAGTAAAACAAATTTTATATTACAATTTTTACAAAATATTTACAAAAAACATTTATTGTGATTTTTCCGAAAGAAGTCTCATGCTCACCAAGGATGCATTTATTTGAACAATATTATTATTATTTATTTATTTATTTATTTTAGATTATTTGATGGATAAAAAGTTACTTTCTATTCTTACTCTGCATCTCAATGTCCATACTATCCATCCTAAACAGTGTGTGAGATTAAATTAAGTATGTGCCAAAGCATAGTATGTTAAAAAGAGCATGCCAGAACTCCCCGGATGGTCTACTATTTCCGGTGGATTTTTGAAGTGTGGATGCGTGCACGCTCTATAGGCTAATATTGCCCACAAACCATTGTGCGTTGAAGGTGGAACTACAGACACAAATAAAGGTGTTAAAAAAAACTACAAAACATGGCGGATATGCGTGACTGATGGTGAGAGGTTCAGATAAAAGTTTAAGTGATTAATCAAAGTTTAAAAAAAACATATATTAATGTATTGTTATCCGTGTTCCATCTGCAATAACAGTGTGGACTTTTATAAAGATCCGTTTGGCCATTCACTTTTAAATGCATCATTATACATTAACATGAGGAGAATCTTCACATGAAAGACCTGCGACTGTCAGCCTGCTTCTGTATTTCTCTCAGATACGATAGGAAATTTCATTTAATTTAATATGGAGGATTATAACTGTGACACGATGCAACCATTAAAGACGCAATTGTATCACGTGATAGTACAGTATGTCCCAAAGCTTGTTTACTTTTCTGCTACACACTCAAAAGTATCTACTTTTTCTTCACCAAAAGAGTACATACTTTTAGGGCATAGCATACGTAGGCGAATTAAGATGCAGCTTTCATGACAAAGCTAATTCAAATAACAAATGAATGGAAACAGACTGAGATCTATGCCGCTTGTTTGGTTTCTCACTTTATTTAGATGACAGAGATGAACGGAGGAATGGAAGAGGAATTCACCATGGCACGGCTCTTCATCAGTAAGATGAAGTCAGAAGTGAAGTCTCTGGTCAACCGCAGTAAACAGCTTGAGAGCACGCAGACTGACACAGTGCGCAAAATGCAGGCCAACGAGAAGGAGCTCGCTTCCTGCCAGCTCCTGATCTCTCAGGTACGCATGGCTCCACCTAGTGGGGGTTCTAGATCAGAACCCTGTATATGGGATTCCTCCCTTTGAACTTTTATCTTGTATAATGTCCCTTTGGATTAACTCATTACAACGTTTTTAAAGGATACATTATTGCTTTAAATATATGTGCATGCATACGTTTAATTGGTATGTAGGCTACTGGTATGTGTGGATTTAGAGTGTGTGCTTGCTTTTAATTCACCTAGCATCAGGCAAAGATCAAATCCCTCACAGACTACATGCAGAACATGGAACAGAAGAAGAGACAGCTGGAGGAAAGCCACGACTCACTATCGGAGGAGCTCGCTAAACTCCACGCACAGGGTCTGTGTGTAGTTAATACTAAACAATGCATTGTTTTACAAAGTAAAATTGTTTCATTTAGATCAAGAAAAAGCACAACTTGTTCCTTTGATGGTAATTTCACTGTATATTTAAAATAATCTTTTTTTACAGAAAAGATGCATGAGGTTTCAGTCCTGGATAAGGAAAAGGAACACATGAGCAGGATGCAGGACGCTGAGGAGATGAAGGTGATGTGCACAAACACATTTGTCAGATAGACTTTGGCGCCTAAAATCATACCATTGGTTGTCATTGAGGAACCAAACAATGAATGGGATAGGATAGGATAGAAGGAAGTATTTGAAGATATTTTAATCTATATAGATACTACGTATTTAGCTGTATAGAAAAGGCCTTTTTTAATTTGCTGCATAGAATAAGAACATTTTGAAGTCCATGGTTAAATAAATAACACTACACACAAAATTGCCCTAGAAGATTCACACATAACTGTTGAAAATGCCAAATAAGTGCCTTTTATATTCATACGAGCATAAATAGTTATATTCTCTGTGTACCTGCATGTAGCAAGCCCTAGAACAGCAGATGGAAAGCCACAGAGAGGCTCATCAGAAGCAGCTCTCACGTCTGCGAGATGAAATTGAAGAGAAACAGAGGATCTTGGATGAGTTTAAGGAGTAAGAGCTTAATTTCTGTCTACTCGTGGTAACTTCAATAGTTGAATATTACTAATATTAAAATATTTTTTTTGTGAAAAAGGCTTTTTATCAATTCATCTGCATCTGCTGGCATTGGTCTAACACTCATCAAAATTTTTAAATTGCTCAGTTTATTCAGTAATATCCTGTTATCTGATGTCAGTGTGAACCAGGCTCTTCAACTTGAAAAGAAGCAGCTCCTGTCTGACTATGAAAAGCTCAAACAGGAGGAACTGAAGAAGGACGAGAGACTACAGAAGCTTGTGTGAGTATTGTTTTGGAGAGATTAAAGGGACAGTAAGCGATTTCTGAGAAACACTGTTGGTATTTGAAATAAACCCAAACAAACACACCCCGCCCTTACATCATACTCTCCCCAAAATGAGTTGTTTGTTGTTAGTCACCAGCAGCACACACTCAAAACTGTTTCCCGCACATAGAGCAGAAACAATGCAACCCCTTTGTCCTGCCTTCAGGCCTTCCTGCTGAGGTCTTGTTGTTGTTTCTCTCTTTTGTAAAAATCACTTCCAAGAGATCGTTGATGACAACAAATTTATTTTACAACAATGTTAAGCATCTTCTGCAAAAGCAGAAGCCCCATTCACAAATATATACCATACATCCTTTTCCAAAAATGGTAACACACACTATAGATATTCTTAGGTAAAGGTTTTTTACCATGTGACACTAGAATAGAATTGTCTGCTGTGAGCAACATTCCAGGCCTTCTGCAGGCTTTAGAAAGTCAAACCAAAGTTACAAACAGGGAAAATAATAGTGCACAAACATATAACTATATATTATATTAAATTACTTATTTTCTAAATAATAAAATCTTCTACAGTCTCCCTTTAAAGCTTTTCTAATATTAACCCTCTGGTGTCGGCTATCACGCCGGCGCGACAATTTCACTTTTTTCCTTATCAGTGCAAAAGGGACTGTTAAAATTACTTTGTTGATTTTGATCTTACACATAAGTGTCTAGGATACTCACAATAAAAACAAAGTGTTCTGATTTTTATCAAATAAAGAAAAACAAATATGATGCATATTTTGCCTTCTCTCAGTTAGTGAAGTTCATTCTGAAACGCGTCTGAAAATGAGCTACAATCAAGTAAATACTTGTTATTCTCTTCTTTTAAATGAGGTCATTTATATAAAAAAAAACAAATATTCTCAGTTTATGTCATCTTTATGAAAAAGAGTGATGTCTTTTTCCTTTCAGCTAATTATAGCTTATTAAGTGTTAATGTGACCACGCCCACTGAGAGTGCGCGCTATTCAAACGCAACTGTTGAGGCAAGCCATGAAAACTCATATCAGCTGAATAAAACATCCAGTTTAATAAGAATCTTGTACTTTACCTTGTCTTGCTGCGCAGTGAGGAATAATACTATCGTAATAATCCTGGAAAAGTTACCTCCGAAGTGCTGGTAGTTTCATTTCGAGGAGCGGATTCAGATGATTGTTATTTATTCTTAAGTCTTTTGTTCTAATCGCGTTATTGAATAGTGTCTGTAAACTGCACAAAGACTGTTTAAATATGAATAGTGTGTCTGTGAATGAATGAATGAATGGCACAGACGCGCGCACAATGTTACCTCCAGTAGTCACGGCAACAATAATCAGACACACCTGAATTAATCAAGTTTGTCCCAATAATGGCACACAGGAAACTAGGAGCTGGCTGAAGTTCAGGAAGTAGTGCAGCTGTGCATAAAGCCAATTCCTCAGAAATTGCTTACTGCACCTTTAACCAATCTCTGAGCATTTAAAATGACAAATACTTATGTGTGTGTCTGTCAGGCATTTGTAGCTCTGTGAAATTTTTGATCAATTTTTTTTTTTTTAATTAGCAAGCTGAATGAGAAGAGAGAGCAAGTCAAAGAAGACCTAAAAGGTCTGGAAGAGACTGTGGTAAGATTTAAATACCCAGCATTCCCTGAGCTTGTCTGTCCAAGTAGTTTACTTGCATAGCTGTTTTTCTTATATGGAGTAGTTGTTTAGATCACCATTCATGCTGTCCCGTCTTCCACAAGGTCAAAGAGCTCCAGACTCTCCAAAACCTGCGTAAGCTGTTTATCCAGGACATCAATAGTCGCATTGGACGAGTGAGTATCTGAACTATTCAATCCAAATATTGTTCCCTTCATTTAAGAATTTTCTTTTTTCATCTTGACTTTGTGATAGAATTCTCTGACCAACAGTTGAAACTGTTTTTATTAATGATACAAAATAGACAATAACAAGGAAAAACATTAAGGCAAGGTACTACAGGCAAAATCATTGTTTTTTTTATACACTGGCCACTTTTGAGATTTTGCTTCCAAAACATGTTCTTTCAGACTTAAAATAAATTTAATAAAAAAAAACATTTTTAACATAACCTTTCAGAAAAGTTTCAATACAAAGCATTGCATTTCAATACAAAGCTTTTCTTAATGTACTGTACTGTGGTTAAATCAACTTGGGAAGTGTGATATCTACAGTATTAGTTAAAATGTTTAACCGTGGTTCAAATGAATGAAGTGCAACTGGCAAGTGCATCAAAAAAAAAAAAAAAAAAAAAACTTTTTTGTAGAGTATGGAGTTGGACGCTGATGAATCTGGGGGAAGTCTGGCACAAAAACAAAAAATAATTTTCCTGGAGAACAACCTGGAACAGCTCACTAAAGTCCACAAGCAGGTATATTGAAATGTAAAATAATATAATATAATTAGTAGTTCTGTATATAGTTGTCTATATTCTTTCATTTCTATATATCTGTAGCTGGTACGTGATAATGCAGACTTAAGATGTGAGCTGCCCAAACTGGAGAAACGCCTCCGTGCAACTGCTGAGCGTGTGAAGATCCTGGAGTCTGCTCTGAGAGAGGCCAAAGAAAGTGCCATGAGAGACCGTAAGAAGTACCAGCAGGAGGTGGACCGCATCAAGGAGGTCATCCAAGCCAAGAATCAGGCCAGGAGGAACCACACCGCACAGATCGGTTAGCCCTATTTCTTCTTCAGATTTCAGTGTTGCATTATATCCAGTAGAGAGCGCAATGGTACTACAATGTCTCCTGTTACATGATGACCAAATACTCTTATGCATTGCTGTATATGTCTCCCACATATTAAGAAGTAAATTCATTCCTTTACTTGAGATTTTCAAATTCATATACATTTATTTATCTATAAGTTAAAAGTATTTTAAATACGTTTAATTTTGAACCACACTTTTTCACTTTTGTAGCTAAGCCTATTCGTGCTGGACATCATCACTCAGTGGCTTCTGCCTCACCGGGCCACAGCATCAGAGGAGGCGTCCCAAGCCCGCGACGACACCACCAACACCAATCGCAGCACCAGCAGCAGCAGCTGCTGCAGTACCATCACAGGAACAAGTGAAAAGCACAGCACGTATGTTGTTGCTTTTCCTGCTACAACAATATGTTTTGCTTCATTTAAGTTATGGAGTCATGTCATGTTCCTTCAGATTAATTCTTTTTCTTCTTAATTTGACTTTGGCTCAAGCTGGTGTGATTCTGTTTGGCTTAATGTTGAAATGAAAGGGTCCGTGCTGAAAAATGCTGCTAATTAGGTTTCAGTGGCATGTGATGCATCTGGGAAGCGCCAGTGACTAGTTGAGAAGTTGTGGTGTAACATTAGTTACTGTGCCAACTGTTTGACTAAGATGGAGCGACATGGATATAATAGCTACAAAAGATCTGCGCCAGAATGCTTGGGAAAGTCAGTGAACAGTGGACAGACTCTAGTGCCATCTGGCATTCATTGAAATGTTGTCAGAGTTTATGTATCTATTTCAGGGTAGGTCACTTTCTTACCTATTGATAACTTTCTTCATGTTCTGGGTGGCAAGAAAAGCTGTTTGTTGTCAATATAATGTTTAGGGTGCTGAAATGTTTATTAATATATTTTCCCTGACAGGATTGCTTGCAACATGGTGCGTCTAACTTTTCACACTTCCAACAGGGGACAAAAAAAGACCAGTTGGATACCTGTCTGCACATCTTTTCATTCCGGCTATGTGTGGCAACAATATGTCTTTTTCCAATGCAGTCTTTTCTATTTGCTGAGGGGGGAAAACAACTACTGTCATCTTTTACGAAGACTTTTCAAGTTTACTTACTGTCCTTACCATGACCTCAAACGCATTCATACTGATTAAGTCAACTCCCTGCTTCCCTCCGTTTATTCATCAGCCCTGAATGGAGATCTGTGGACTCATCTAAAGTGAATAAACAAACACAGACCCACACACTAAGACAACGGGATACTGTCTTTTAAACAGATATGAAGTGCTATTTCATCGTGACATTTCCTCTCTTCTTTTGTTATTTTCTGCGATGAGTCACTTTTGAAAAAGTCTTCAGTGTTGGAATTACATTCTGATTATAGTAATTCAGGTCATCTTTCATCACAGATGCCAGGATAGTTTCCATAGTAGTAAGACTTAAGACTTGGAAGACTTGAAAGATGAAAAGTTGTCACAAAAATCAGCATTGGAAGTTTTTACCACCTCAGGAGTAACAGAGCATGTGTGGTTCTTTTAATTGGCACATATTCATTGAGAACATGCAGTGACATGACTGGAATGTAGTTTAGGAAGTTGCTTCAAGCTTAATTCGTCATGATTTATATTAATGATTATTACTTGATGTTAATTTTTATATTAATTTATTTTTGTATACATTAAGTATTGGAATTGAGTTTATTTTATTTGCATATTGTCCTTTTTAGATTATTTTATTTTCCTCACTTTAGAGCCAGATCATTATGTGTACATGTTTTTATACAGATATATCGGTGCTTTGAAAATATTACTTACTGTAATTTATACCATAAGGTGCTCTGGAGCAAACAACAACTGTTAAATATCAGTCGTAATACCACATTAGTGTTAAAACCAGGAATCATTTGAAGATATCTTTGTTGTTGTAAGTATTATCATTGTTACTTAACCTGACCTGTTTTAAAGGGCATGAAATGCAATCATTTTAAGACAGCCAAAGTCATAAGAGACACAAGAGCTTCACATATGAAAAGATCAGATGTGTTTAAGAAAGCAAATGTAGAGAGATTTTATTGCTTACATGCATTTAAGAAAGCAAATGTGGAGAGATTTTACAGCTGATTTTTAATTAGATATGTATGTGCTCAATTATAATGCATCATTTAATTTAGTTAATTTTTATATAATTTTATCATTATTTATTGATATCATTAAAATAGGATGACGGATTTTTTAAAAAACCTCATTGAGTGACTTTTAAATCTATGATATGATTGAGAATCCATTGGCTTTTTAAAGAAACACAAATATTGTTTCAACAAATATTAAACCATGTAAACCATGCTATCATGCCATAGCTATTTACAATCCTTTGCTAATATAAAACTTTGCCTATACTGTCTGGTGTTAATTGTCTCTGGTAAGATTTTGAGTCTGTGTGCTCAGCTTGGTTTCTTATCACTTGTAACTACATCAGTACATGAAAAATGTTAATATGATGAAATCTTGTTCAGTTTACTGTAAATGCTGACAACTCGATAATAAGTGTTGTGAGCACTTTATTGCACTCTCTTGTGGGATTGTGTAACTGACAAATTAAAACCACATTCACAAATGCACTTCTTAGGTTCCATATGAGGATTTCCCCTGGCAAATGAACTTTGCTCATCATCGAAATAATAGAAGAACTACTGATGTAAAGTAGGCCTCTCAAAGCCTATAACTTAACAAGGTCTAGTGTTTTGTATGTCCTTGAATGTTGTTTTTCCATGTAGCTATATGGTGGTGAGTTAATACACAGAGTGACCTCTTAATATACTGTTTGTCTTCAGGTTCTTGTTCATAAGTGTTTCTAAAGTTTATGAAAAGTGCTATGAACTTTACCTCAGCAGTGTATGGAGCATCTGGAAATGAGATCAGAGGACAATAAATGAACTTCAGTTGCTTTGAAGGAAGTGCCACAACATGGATATGAAATGGTTTCTAATGGTTGTTCCAAGATATCAAGCTTAAAGTTATGGATAACATAACAGGGTTTCTGACACTCATTTATCAGATATTGATGTGGAATCAATAAAAGGTTACTAAATGTATATTTCATCAGTTTTGTCTTTTTCTCTTGGCAGACAATTTTATTTTCAGTATAGATTTTTTACAAATTAGTTTTAAATATAAAAAAACACTTAGACCAATGTAAAGAATCATTTAGATTGTGAACAACTGATTTATTGGAAGATTCGACTCAAGAGAATATGTGGAATACTGACGTCAGCAACCAGTCGACCAACCAGAGACCCTGTTTGAGCGCGCCGGTCCCCTTTTACTGTCTATGGCCGGTCCAACGCGAATGGGCGTTCTTGTCGTTCCGCGTCACAGTCAGTGGGTTTTATTTTCTTCTGCTGCTGGGATAGAATACACTCAACGGTAAGGTTGTTTCGAGCTTTTCTTTGAGGTTGGACTGTTAAACTTTGGAACAACAAACGCTCGAGGTTTTCTCTGTCTTTACCAACCCCAAACTCATGAACGGAACGCCACAGAGACCGCCAATACAGTTAGTGTGACTTCTTATTTAACGTTACGTTTAGAAACTTTTAGTGTCAGTTAGGAGACATCTTTTTCCTAATCCTTAGCCTAACCTACCTTCGTTCACTGAGAGTAAACTTAAATGTGAGTCTTCATCCCACTGTTATTACTGTTATTATTTTATTTTTAGACACCATTATTGTGTACAAAAATATTTTAAGATTTCGTGATGTTTATATGTTGCCACTATATGGGGTAAGTTGTCACAATAGGAATCCACGTTTATTTACAGTAATAAAAAATATTACTTTATTTATTTATTTATTTATTTTAATTAACCAGATGATCTCATTGGGATTTAAAACCTCTTTTTCAAGAGAGACCTGGCCACAAGCACATTAACAGTGCAGACAGTTACAAATATCAACACCAATATGAATTGCTATCTTAAAAATGTCTAAAAATCTTCGTATTATTCATCTTGAAGAAATAAAAATTAGATATCTAACTTGTAAGACCAGTGGTGAGGTCTGTCCTGGAAGCAGTTGGTGCATTAAGTTCTGTGTAGTGGTTCTATTGAATGCCCTGTTCACAAAACAGGATCAATAAAATATACAGTATCTTTATACCTCAGGACAAATCTCTTGAGTGAGAATATAAAATCTGCTACACCTCATTTAGATGTTACAGAAGATCCAACTTATTATTGTGATCAGTGGCTCTCATGTTGCCCTCTGCATATTTTCCTTAATTTTGCCATGGGGTTGAGGAGTGATCGAGAGCCCCTCCTCTCTTCTTGCCTGGGCTGTCTCTCATCTCTGCTCTCATGTAGAACTGGAGGACACTAGCAGATCACAGGCAGGATTGTTCTCTTTGATGTGACCCTCAGCTCCTCTAGATATCATTGAGGCTCCGTCTCTCGCGACGAGAAAGCTTCCATTAGTCTGTCAGTGAAAGCTCAGTCGTACCCGGGGATCAGATTCTGCTGTCAGCTGCCATGTATCAGTGCAATCGAGAGTCAGACCGTCATTAAGAGTGTGTTGAGGAGCCCACAAGATAGAGATGAACTGGTCACATCCTGCCATTCAAACCTTAGTTTGCTCTACACCTCACTAAACCCAAAGACTGAAGGAACCTTGAACATTTTAATATTATTTATATACTCTTATAGTATAATATATATATATATATATATATATATATATATTCAAAATATTAATAAATACTATAGAGTATATAAATAATATTAAAATGTTCAAGGTATTCAAGATATAAGGAAATATCACTGCCTTTTCCAGTCTTCACAAAGTAACACCAAATGGTATCAAACAGCTAAATGACAGAGTTTTACAAAGTTTAAATGAGGGAGACTACTTCAGAAACCAAACCGTTTGTAAATCCATAAAGATTTCAACGAGATAAGAGTATTTGTGTTCGTGCTGATCACTCATCTTACATCAGGTACCACAGAGCCACAAAAGCCTTCCTGTGACAAGATGGCCGCCGGTAATGACGGTAAAGACTCCGCCGTAAGACTTTGGTCTTGTACGGCGGAGAAAAAGTGGAGAGCCCTTGTTGGTACTGTAGCCACAAGCACTTAAATCTGTGCCTCCCCATATCTTGTGAAATGTCTTCAAATAGCCTACAGATTTATTTCTTTATCAACCCTGCATTTTACCTGCATTTTTCGCCCCAAACAAAGACATGAAACCTCCGCATTGCTCCACTGTGTGTTTCCTTTGTCTTCCATTGCGCGATTTTTTAGTGACGTACGACTCGAATTTACTGGGGAATATCCGATTTGTCTGCTTACATGGCACACGCAAATGCACGTATCCGATTCATATCCGATTTATTACCACATATGAGTGAGGTCTGAATCTGATCTGAGAAATTCAGAATCCATGCATTTTTTTTCCTGCTTACACGTTCACCGGTCATATCCGATCTGTGCCACGAGAGGAAAAAATCGGATTTGGTTCACTTGAACCATGCAGTGTAAATGGGGTATATTTGCTGGTCAAAATTTAGCTTAGGAAGTTCTGCATAAAACTGTTTAGATCAACGCCACATGACTCGGCTGTTTTGGTCCTGATTCAAACCTTTGCAATTACTGTGGAATTTCAAGAGTGGCCATAACACACCAATTACGTTTTTATCACTAGCTTAGAGAGTAAGAGCCTTGTTTGCTTGCCCTCTTTGATTCAGAAGGACCGTTGTTGCTGTGGACAGATGAAGGGAGACAGATGGCATGAGGGCTTTGGTTTTGGTTTTGGAAGTTGCAGCTGCTGTTGACTGACCTGAACAGCATTGTGCTCATTGGCGAAACGACTTGTTCTTTTCATGTTTACACAGCATTTCAACTCCCAAATCCTTCGTTTATAATCAGGAGGAAGATGTATCCCTTTTTGTTTTGGATGCTCGTGTTTTTCCTCAATTTTGAGCAGGTTTGTTGTTGTATGAATGCCGTCGGGAGATCTTTTTGCTTAATAGGGGTTTGTATGTTTAAACACAGGGTTGTTTTACCCGCTGAAGTGCTGCTTACGATAGCTAAGAGCTCAACTATTTCACAGCACTCTATCATTAGAGTGAGTCATGAGTATCAGCTCTTTACAGATGACCTGAGAGGGAGCTCAGAGCTCACAAGTGGGTCTGCATCAAACCACAATGTACATGCCTATCTTGACTGGTATCACATGACTCTAGTTATGTCATGTTCAACTCAAGGAATGATGTAAAGGTGCCGTTTCCGTTCATGGCAAGGTTCTGACTTGTATTTTTTTGTCCCAGTTTTTAAAAACTACCTCAACAGGATCTGTCTGACTGAGGGCATGTTTAGACCAATGCATTCAGGTTTAAAGAGGCTGTTTGTTGTAGTTGTTATTTTGCAGAATGATTAGATCCTGAAGATACCAAAAAGTAGAAATGTGAAGTCGGGTCCCCCTCTAGAATGACGGGATGGTCAAGTGTGGAAATAAGCCTGACCTGAGGCCCTGTGTGTCAGAACTATCACAATGTCGCCTAGTAAAATGACAGGTGAGGGTCATCGGCCCTTGCCCTCAAGGTCATGGAAACAATAGAGGTACCTAGGGTCATCGATAAGAGACCCATTTTTGTCGCCAAAAGTGAGAGGAAGCAGAGTATCTTATCCACTCTTTATAGAATAATTGAAGAATAGTTTCTCCCTTACATCTTGGCATCTAGGTGGTTCACGTCATAATGAAAAGGATCAGGTTTCCTTAGGAAAATCATATTCAAATTTAGAGGGCAAGGTTTTTTGAGCCAGATATATTTTGAATGCAACTTCCAAGAAATGTATTTACTTGTATATGTCATGACATGCACACAAGAAAAGATAAGGTCCAAGTGCAGTTTAATGGGGTAATCCGTACTAACAATCCAGCCAGGCAAAAAGGTCAAAATCCATACAAGACGGTCCAAAAACCAAGAAACAACCAGGAGTGGAACAGAGAAGTGCAAAATGACATTAAACAAGGAATCCACAACAATCACAGAAACAGACAGGGCATAAATAGACCGGTTCAAACAAGTTAAGTGGGAACAGCTGTGTGCAAAGATTAGTGATGAGTTCAGACAAAGACTTATGGGAAATGCAGTTCAGGATGTGCCGATGTGGTGGTGACGGTATGGGGAAGAGGACTCTAGTGGACACCCAGGGACACCAACAGACACTCTGGCAGTTTAGTGTGCACATTACTACAATGATGTGGCTGCAATTCCCAATTTTAAATGTGTGAATTTAGTCCCTCCATTCTAAATATTATTTGGGGTCTTTAAGATTTTTTTAAATAAATATGTTTAGCAAGGATGCATTAAATTGATCAAAAGTAACAGTAAATACATTTTTAATGTTACAAAAGGTTTCTAATAAATCCTGTTCTTAAACTTTCTATTCATCAAAGAAATTTGAAGAAAAAAAAAATCAGGTTAGAATGATTTCAGAAAGATCTTGTGACACTGAACACTGGAGTATATAAAATATAAAACAGTTTTTTAAAATTGTAATAGTATTTCACAATATTACTGTTTGCGTTCTTTATTTGATCAAATAAATTCACCCATGGAGATTTCTTTGAAAAACATTTTGTAGTTTGAGCATAAACTGTCATTTATTACATGATCTGGCTAAGCAAACAGCCGCAATCTGCAGGGCAGCCCACATTATGGCGCTGTATTTATTTCCACATTTTTCCCATTCTCTTTAGGTAAACTGCACATGACCTCTGCAGTATTATGGCACAGGCTGGATTCCATCTCAATGCTTTCTTCAATAAGAGCACTGTAATCCTCATGAGATCCAGAGAATGCAGGGAGACTCTCTCACACAGAATAAATGTCCAGGCATCTCTATTCAGTTACCTTGGCCACTGTCCCAGGTGAAACAGCTAAAGGGTCTATTTAATCTTAACTTGAAGAGAGCACTTTGGAAAAGAACCCAATCTCTCATCATCTCAGGAGATTAGATCCGCACACCCACGAATCAGATGTGTCGAAAGCAGTGGCCAGAGTAATAGGCACTTAGGTCTGCGCTTCTGATCCCAGTGTGTCT